GCTGAAAAAAGTGAAAAACAGCATAACTTCCCTAAAAATGACCCGATCATACTGATTTTCGAACTTGACCTGCGTATTATGAATATTCATCAGTTCTGTAAGTTTCAAGCCAAAAGGTATAATGGTTTTCCACTTATCGTGTTATCGGTGCTGCATATATGCTGAAAAAAGTGAAAAAACAGCATAAATTCCCTATAAGTGACCCGATCATGCTGATTTTCGAACTTGACCTGCGTATTATGATCATTCATCAGTTCTGTAAGTTTCAAGCCAAAAGGTAAAACGGTTTTCCACTTATCGTGTTATCGGTAAAAGTGCACGCCAACGGCAACGGCGACGACAGACGCAGGTGATGGCTATATGTACAGACACATCTGTGTCTGTACATAAAAAAACTGGGTACCTTGGCTGCAAAACTGTCCAGACCACCCCAGTGGACATGAACAGGTATAGGTGGCACTGGCTTCCTGTGGCACACAAGACGCTCCATTCTCGCAACTGTGGTCTCTGCAGTAGATGGACTGCTCACAGCGATTGCCAAAATATAACTGAAATTTTACAACATTTTGTCAAAGATTCTTCACCTCAACTGGACATGTTGGTGATTAATTTTTTTTTCTTAAGAGACTAAACTTGTCTTCACATATAAGAGAAGATTCAGAGCAGCAGACTAACAGACCCACAGATCAAATACATGTGTATGACTGACCCACTTGAATGCTTGATGCATAATCCCTGCAGGGTATCTATTCATTGTCCAATTGGGAATAAAGCAGCAAGCTTTTAGTGAGTTGCCTTATTTGATCCACAGACTTAGACATGTCATTTCATTGCTTCATGAAAGGGTCAAAACTTTTTGTCTCAAAGGTTAAGGCACATGTAGCCTCTTTAAAAACAATTCACTATTTTAAACCATTTTTACACAAGAGTCAATGTGAAACCTGCTTCATTATTTACCAAAATATTGTTCTCAACATTTCATATTGCAGATATTAGGTTAAAAACCAGAAAATATCAATCCAACACAGAATTTCCCTGGAGAGAGAGAGAGAGAGAGAGGGGGAAGGGGGGGGGGGGGCTTGTCTAAAACAAAACTGGCAAATTTAACAACTGTCCTATCACAAATGGGGGGAAATGTCTCTCTCTCTCTCTCTTTGTAAGTCACTCTCTCTTCTTTCACCTTTCTCTCTTTTCTCTCCCTTCCTCACCCGATTTCCTAGTACTACCAGTATATGGTTTGGCTTTCATCAAAACTCAACTTTTAAATTCAGATTTAGAAGACTAGAAGGGGTAAGGGACTGTCACCCTTTATGGCTTCTACTGAACCTTCCCCTGCTTGAAATCGTGAAAACAAAATCATCAACAACTAAAAATTCAGAATTGCCTCTGACTTACCTGTGGACAGCTGCACTGATAACTGTCCCCGGCTGCGTTACAGGTACCGCCATTTTGACAAACGCTGTATCCACATCCTGTGCCATCGCAGTCCCCAACATTCAGCCCTGAGACTGCTCCTATGAAAATATATTAACAGTAAGAGAGCATTCACAAGCAGTCGATTAGTCCACCATTTGTCCCAATCAAAATTTACGAGTAAGAAGATGAAATCTTCAAATAATGGAAATAAAAAATAATTTTAATCTAAAAAAAAACGCACAGCCCCTGAAAAGCATGGCAGAATTAAGACAAGTGTAGGAAACATATTTGTCTTCTAGAAAGACTTCCAGAATTTGATCTCAGTGCAGTCAGTCTGAAATCTTGGATCTGTACCTTCTACAGTCAGGTCATATGTTCTTCCGTTCACAATAAATTCCCTGATGCAACCTTCATATGTCACTGGATCATTCTCCACAGCTGAGGGATTCAACATAGACAGTTGTGGCAATCCTCCTATAAAACAATGAAAAACAATCAAATTAATCAAAATTGGTTTGCTGCAAAATCGTTTAGGAGGAAATGTCAAAATAAATGCTGTGGAGCAAACTGGCATTGCTACAATTAAAAGTTTGAAAAATTCACAAAATATAAATGAGTAATCTTTCCATAGCAAAGATTTCAATTGAAAAAGAGATCATGGCTTGCTATCCAAAAAATAAATAAATAAATAAATAAATAAATAAAAAAATATATATATATATAGAGAGAGAGAGAGAGAGAAAGAGACTATATGCGCCTCTTGCCATACAGTCACTATTACATTTACCCACCTAAGTAAAAGAATGACCTTGTATCCAAGGAAACGGTGCCAGGGGTCGTTGTCCCGGTAACAACCTCACCATCTACACTGAGGGTAGCATGGGAACCATTCCTTCTCACCTCTATCACAGACCATACACCTAAATAGGGTGAGAAATAACAATTTTTACAATAATTCATATATCAATAGCTTTTCAATGAAAATGCTAGTTTTTCACTCAAACTTTTACAATAATTAAGTGCATATGTGTGAAATCTTGTCAAGGAGGAAGAAGGGTGCCTTAACCATAAAGAAAAAAGTGTAAGCTAACCCTTAGCAAAATTTACCTGGAGTAACCATCGTGCTACTTGTTAGCACAGCAGTGGGAGAGGTCCCCAGATTTAACCTCAGATCAACACTTCCATTATTCAGAGACAATGCAATAAAATCCCCGCTGCGTTCATTCATGTGCTCGGCAGCATAGAACAGGACGCCATCTTGTTTTCTGGGATTGACCTGGATTCTAATGTCACATGATCGGCCAATATGGACGGGTTCAAAGGCCATGTAAGATGCCTCACCTATGAAAATCGGGTCACTGATAGTGATACCTGAAAAACAGCAGAAATTCTAAATGTAAAAATCACTGCAGAATAATCCTCTTAAAATTATAATTTACCACATTCCACTGAGAACAGCTCATTTTTCAATGTCATATACCTAAAGATGGTGCATATAATACACAATGAGTAGTTCTTTTTCTGAAAAAAAAAAAACAAAATACTTTTTTTACCTTTCTTACTATCTTTGTTAAGCAAGTTTGAGAAATGGCACAGATCCTAGATCATTTTTTGAATCAGAGAAAACCAAAAGGGCAGTCTGCTTCCTCCCTGCCCCACCCCCACCCCTGCTTACATGTTTGCTGAATGATGAGTTACAAACATTTAAGTCCTGAGTAATCATCCCAATATGCATTTTCTTTGTGATCTGTGCTCTATAACTTTTATAATGTGACATGGCACTTTCTAGTCTTGTATTCATGGCTCCAAGTCTAGACTGACAGAATTATAAATTCAAAGCAATATTTACTAAATTAAACATACAGTTTTGATTTCTTCTCTTATGTCAACCACTTCTACCACTACTTCATTTGTCAAAGCGACTATAAATTCAATTTTCATAAGAAGCTATTTATTCCCCTTATTGTACAATCAATTAAAGCAATAATAACTCTTCGTTTCGGCCAAAAAATGAATTTTCCTGGAGTAAACAACAATTTTCCCATGCTTACCAATGGTTAATGAATCCATTTTTACATTCAAAGTTAGTCCCTGGTTTTTTTCTAAAAAGTTGGGTTTTTTGTTAAAATCTCTTAAGAGATTTTAACATAGTATAGACATCAATGGAGGTCACGTGGTCTAAAGACAAGTTCAAATATCAGAATAAAAGCTATAACTGCTGTTTTTGTGGTAAAACAGAATATATTATATTTCTATGAGTTATTCACAAGGTTTTTATTGTGAAATATAGGTCTCATACAAAGAGTTATTATGCCTTTAATATCTTGTATGACTTACTCTGCTCACATCTTTCCCCCGCCTTCCCCAGGGGACAGTCACACCTGTACCCCCCCTCTGTGAGAGGAACACAAGTAGAACCATTGGCACAGTCAGAGCTGGTGTCACAGACTGAGATCTGTTCTGAGCATAGGGCTCCCTTCCATCCACTACTGCAGTGACACCTATAGGATTTTATGAAAATTAAAATGACTGAGAAGGTGTAGGCACAATATAAAGCTCCTTCCCATCCAGTCAGACAGACATAGAGATTGATTGTTGGATTGGAAGAGACTTATCCACAATATTTCAGAAATGATAGAAAAGCTAGCCTTAAAAAAAAACAACTAAAAATGCAACCATGAGAGGTGCGTATCCATATACTGATGGTCTGGGGAGCAATGGCCCCTGTAAATAATCTCATAATTTATATTACCAACCAATATTAATAATTTTATACATAAACATCCAATTATCCAGATAGATCTGAAAGATTCCCATCTGTAATACCTGAAGGATGCCCCTAGGTCCACACACGTCCCTCCATTTTGACAGGTATTGACCGCACACTCGCTGGCATTACACTGCTGGACGTTCCGGCCACTGGTCACATGACCAGGGGGGAGTCCAGGGGCTTGAAACTGACCACTGCTGCCACCTCTCACCTCAAGGTCAAATATACACCCTGGGCACAAAATATACATAGAATTTTAAACATGGTTCATGTGTATTGAAGAAAAAAATAAACATAGTGACCCTGGCATTGATTATGAATGAATAATGGGGATCAGAGTGTTTTTCGTCTTTATCACTATGCCAGTTTAAATTATTTCTTCTTTTGCTGAAAATCTTGAGTTACCTATCATACAATAAATTAACATAAAAAAATACACATGGGAAAGTATGTCCAGAAAGTTTTCATATTAAAATCAAGAATTGTTCCTAGCACTATATAACAGATAATCACATTCTATAAACTGAATTGCAATTTAAACGCAAGCTTAAACATAAATAAATAAGCCATCCATAACCAACAACACACCTTGAAATCCAACGGTAAAATTGACCCCTAAAGGCAAAAGTTTCATCTCAAAAACATCATATCCTCCAACATAGAACTCGCTAAAGGAATTCAAGCCAATCAGTTTCCCTAAAGATGACCCTGTGACCTTGACCTGGTTGTCCACCTTGAGATGACCTTGACTGTAGCTTCGACCAAGTTCCACAATGTGATAGGTGGCACTAGTGTCCACTGGCTCTGGACTGACTAGTTTACGAGGTCCTGAAAAAAAAAGAAAATTTAATTTAATTTACTTGAAATTTGTCAAATTATCAAGTTGCAAAGCTTTTGGTCTAAAATAGTATCAAAAAGAATGATCACTACAATTTTCTTGATTACAATATAATTGCATCATTTTGGGGTGTGCTTAGAGAGGAAAAAAACTCTCCAATCCAGGATTAAACTGTTTAAGATCACTTCACATGAAACCCAATTATAATAAATTCTATAAATAATCCAAAATACAGAAAATCTCTTAATTCACCAAGCCCTCACCAGTTCCTAGGTCAAACATGTAAACAACATGGCCGCCTTCCATGCCAACTGCCAAGTAGTCTGAACCATTGGGGTAATTGCCTGGTAATAGATTTAAATAAAATATATAGGCTTCTGTGTGACAGAATGTTTGTGCATAAAAAAAATCTTTCTCATAAATTGTTTTTCAATCACACAAAAGTTGAAAAGAAAAAAATTTTCAGCAGTTTTCTGTAAATTTAAGTAGACCAGATTACACTGTACTTTGCCTTTGCACAAACTGTTATCAATACTTTGATAATAATAATAATAATAATAAGATTCTTATATGGCGCCTTACATTCTATCTCAAGGCGCCTTACAATAATGGCTAATATACTAAAATCATTAAAATGACTACAATATTTTAATCATAAACTCTCATTGGAAACCATTTAAAATTTACACTACTAAAAATCAATCCTATTAAAAAAAAAAAAAACATATATATATTAAAACAAAATCTAAGAGATATAGACAGAATTAAAAAAGTGGGTCTTTAAAAGAGATTTAAAATTGTCAAAGTCTTCTGTTTTCCTAATAAAATTTGGTAGACCATTCCACACTCTTGGGGCGTAGATTATAAAAGCACGATCTCCATAACTTTTTAGGCACCCCTTCTCTAAAACAGAATGTTCTAAAATAAAATCATTCTCAGTATTAAAACGTGTGGACCGCCGTGGTAAGTTAAAACAGATAAGATCAGATAAATATAATGGTCCTTGTGAATGGATCGCCTTAAAAATAATACAGAGTACTTTAAAATCAATCCTCTGCTTCACAGGCAGCCAGTGTAATTCTTTCAGAATGGGAGTGATATGGTGTGTACTATTGTACTTAATTTGACAAACCAGTCTTGCAGCTGAGTTTTGAATAACTTGTAACTTTTTAATCTGATAGTCACAAATACCAAAGAGGAGACTATTGCAGTAATCTAATCTTGATGATATAAATGCATGTACTAATTTTTCAGTGGTTTTGTTATCTAACACTTTCCTTATTTTTCCAATGCGCCATAGTGCATAAGATGCTGATTTACACACTTCAGATACACGCTTGCCCATAGTGCCATTTTCATCGAGGGTAACTCCCAGATCTTTTACAGAACTAGATGGTTTTATAAGAACATCTCCTATGCAAATGTTGGCATTTGCTACATTTTTTCTATTTGCCTTGAACCTTGATGTAAACCATATCAACTCAGTCTTACTATCATTTAAAGCCAACATGTTCACTTTCATCCATTCTCGAATCTCTGCAAGACAAGTCTCCATAGAAGTGATTGTTGCAGACTGGCTGCTCTTGCATGTAATATATACTATTTTCATACTATTTCCATTTAACCTTCCTTACAGTAAACCATTCATATATGTTAAAGACATAGACTGTGATGGAAATTAATTAAACATGCACTCAGTGTTCACTGACCTTGCTGTCCAGTAAAGATCATCAGACCACTGTCCAGTGCAGTGTCCAGGTTGTTCAGAGTAAACTTGAACCGGATGTCCATCTCAAACTCCAGGGACGGAATCTTGGGATAGGCCAGGTAGGAAGAATAGCCATACTGGTCACCGAAGAAGGCTGGACGGGAAATGACCGCCGCTGAAAATAAGATATAAATATGGTTACAGTTCTTATAATAAAAATAATTATAATAATTATTATTATTATTATAATAATTATTATTATTATTACATTTATTATTTCTATTTTTATAATCAAAGCTGATGATATTTTTGGCTCCCAAAATGTCATGTTCCAACATGTACATGTACAAATGTCCACTAATAACAAACTATTTCCTATTACACAGGACTCATTCAGAATAAGGAACTAACTAGTCCAAGGGTCAAATATGGCCGACCCAATTGAATATTTCCCCATGTGATATCTTTTCCGTGTCTATTACATGTATAATTAGCAGTTTAGACGGCAAGCTTTGTAGTGGGTGGCCATATTTGACCCTCTAGTTAGTCCCCTATTCTGAATGGGGCCAAACAGTCCCTCAGTCTTACCTTCTGTACAGTGTACCCCTCTCCTGCCATAAGGACACAGGCAGACATATTGACCTTGACCTTGTAGTATGATGCAGGTGCCCCCATGTTGGCAGGGGTTGTGTTGGCAAAGTCTCCTCTCACATAATACACCAGTGTAGTCTGAGAGACAATCACAGAACCAAGATTCTCCATCCCTGAAATATTACCATTCTTATATAACTGCTGTCAGCCAACTGCCCCTTCCCTCCCCTGCCTTTCTCCCCTCCACCCCACAAATGTGAAGTGACTGAAACAATCTACTGACTTAAAGCCTGACCTCTACGGTGCAGGATATTTTTTTAAAAATAACTGTATCTAATTTTTCAATACAAAGTTCATTTCCCAATAAAATTTTCAACCCTCTACAAGTAGTCATTGCAATAACAACAGCATCTGGAAATTACTGGCCTGTATCAACAATATCAACATTGGGAATGAGCCTTAATACATGTATAATACTTACAGCTGACATGTTGCATTATTTCGACATGGCTCATAACTGCAGGGAGGCACTGTGCAGTCAGCGATGTTCTGTCCACGCAAGGCATCAAAGAACACATCAACTTCTCTGTCATTCACCTAAAGTTATATTAGAAAAATAGAAAAAAAGTGGTCCAAACGGTTATAGTATATTTTCTATAGAAAAAGGAACAGTTGCTTATGAACAACTTGGTCATAACTTACCTTTCTTGTTCTAAGAATATTATTGCTGTACCAGATGCTATTTACAAGTATGGACTGGGAAGCAGAGGATCTCCTTGGGTAATGTTTTTCCATTTATGAATATTTCAAAATCTTGATCCTTTCCATTTCATAAAATTATTAACTTAACAAATCCTGTATATTCCATCTCTATACTAACTACAAATGTGTGTAATTTACAGAAATCTCTTCCAACACCAACAAAATTGAACAAATACAAATTTGTATAATCCCAAATGCTGCACGTACTAAATGACACAGTTTCTATTAAAAGAAAACACACAACATTTTCTCTCTGTCCAATTCTTACCTGCAGGTTTCTAATACATCCAACAAAAGGTAAGAACGGGGTAGCCCTGGCATCTGGACTATAGATGCCAGTAGCATAGCCTCCCAGATATAGAGGGCCGTATGTTCCATAGGTGGCCAAGACAAGCTGACTGCTGATAATCCTAAAAAGGAATATTTTAAAACTTGTTAAAAATAACTCTCAAAACAGTTTCACTGAAGGCACTGATTATGCAGTACCTTCAAAATTCATCAGTGAATAATCTACAATCCCTTTTTTGAGTGAAGTTATAATGAACTTTTGGTTTAAAGGTTTGAAGAATAAAGTGCAGATGGAGAGCATAAAAATGTTATCTGGGAGTGACTATGTTAGTTTGTACACTGTGTCTTTCTTCTGACAGTAGAAACTGTTGGTAATTTCTTAAGGAGATATTATTTACTCATACATTGTAAATGTTAGCTTAAACAGTGTGTTAGGTGTGACAATGTAAGTTATACACTGTGTTAGCTTCAACATTGTTAATGTATTCATCATATCATGTAGGATTGATAATATTACTCAATACTGCATTACGTGGGATGAGGTTAACTTATATTGTGTTAGGTGTGACAATGTTAGTTATTCAATGCATAAAGTTGAAATGTTTGTTCTACATTGCATAAGCTGTGAAAATGTAAGTTACACAATTTACAGATGTGACAGTGTTAGTTCCATATTGTGTTAGCTGTGACAATGTTAATTACACATTGTGTTAGTTGTGACACTGTTAGTACCACATTGTGTTAGTTGTGACACCTACTCAGGATAAGAATCCACCTGTACTGCTGCAGAACACCTCTGTCTCACTGTGTTCACATCTGTCATCCATGGATGCTGGTGCCTGGAAAAAAACAATGACAATAGAGGATAATAATTTAATATCACTGCAGAATAAATATCAAAGATACTTTATTTATAAATAGCACATACAAACATAATTTAAATACAAAAAACGTGAAAAGATTTTGTGTATTCATTTTATCACGAAAACCTGAAACAGTTTTGCTTGCTGCATAAAGCCTACAGTATTTTGACATTCAGTTTTTACTGATTACATAAAGACTGATCAATGTTTATTCAAAAATAGCTAAAAATATAATAATGAAATTAAGATAAACAAAAAAAGTGACCCAAAAATTTTGCTCAGTATTTATTGTTCATCATTTCTGTATCAAACAGGCCTATCAATCTGTAACATTGTCAATTTACATGAAGACACAAAAGTCAAATCAAAACATACCTAAGATTGACAGCAGTTAAATTCCCAGTGGCAACATAGACCTGTGTGTCAATCATCAGTATGTTACCATGGTTACATGCAAATTGATACTTGATATACCCGCCCTCCACATAAAGATGCATAAAGGATCCTGATACTTGACTCTGTGAGAAAAGAATGGTGCCACTGGTGTGGGAGGTCTTAAAGGTCAAGAAGAGGTCACTGGTTGCCATGGAAACATTAATGGCTGCATGTTCTAAGTAGGAGTTGCCACCAAATGAAGGGAAATAGACGACCACCTCTGTCAAATAAAAATGCAAAATAATTAAATACACAAAATACAAAAAGCAAGAAAACAAAACTAAGTCTTTAAAAAAACTTATAAACATATTTGTGGTTGCACTTTTAAGTTCTGATTTTGTGATTAATGAAGACAATCATGAACATTTCAACAAAATATGGAATGAAAAATGCATCTAAATCAATGAAATTCATCAACACTATTATTATAATTATTATAACTGTGACTGTTATAGATCAGAATATCTCCCTGAAAATGCCAAGTACTAATTCACCTCTAAAGTATTAACAACATCAACAAACTCAGTTAGAATAACCACAAACAAATGATATGAAGACTAAAACCTGAATACGGGTATAACTGACTATAAGTTCTACTTTTTAAAGAGTGTTGAAAACAAACCTTTTTTACATCTGGGCCCTGAGAACCCCAGTGCACAGTCACACACCAATCCACCGCCAGATGTCAGCACTTCCCTGCATGTGCCACCATGGTTACAAGTAATGTCTGCACAGGTTGGTGGCCGTGGTGATGGTGTTACCGTGGTTACAGGGGCTGGAGATGTGGTGATTGGTGGAACATAACCACATTCATATACATTCACCTGAAAATAAGTTTTCTTCTAATGAGGTTTCTTTGATAAAAATCAACATGTACTACAACATATTTTGAATGGGAAAAGTTTGTCAGAAAATTACTGCAAAATGGGGAGGAGGTGGTTAAATCATCACAAAATCTCATGGTTTAAACATTAGCATTAGAACCAATTGGATTAAGGACCTAAAGAAATATTTTTAGTACAATGAAATATGTCACTTGCTGAAGCATCGCCGACATATTCAATGACCATCAAATCTATATAAAATCCGTATCTATGCCCAGTACTTTTTCAGCACCATATTTATTCCATTTCTGATAATACCAACTACTTACCCCTTCCACTGCATCCAAGTACTCATAACTCTCTCCATTCACCATCATACTGCCAAGACAGCCCACATAACTAGCAAGTGGTGCCACCTGGTTATCTGGCTGCACACTACTTGGCAGACCTCCCAGGTAGAGATTTGATAGAGTTGTCAACCTGAAGCTGGGAAAAACAAAACTCATGCCGAGTTCTACTCTGGGTGGAGATGCAGCAGGACCTCTGACATCAAGAGAGGCAAAGCAGTCTTGTGTTTGACTGAAAGAGAGAAGAAAACAACACAGTCAGTCTCTGTTATAATAATTATCATTGTCAGAATCTTCTTCAAAATACGTATTACTTAAAATTAGAATTAAAAAAATGTAAGAAAAATCATAGCATAAACAAGGTGTTTGTTATGAACCATTATGCAACTAATACTGATGTTTCATAACAATTTGTTTTTAAAAAGAGCAAACAGATGTCAAGTATGAAAGAATCATCAATCAGACACCACGAAAAGAATATTATACATGTGGCAACAAAAGCTTCAGTTTTTTTAGAGAAGCATTTTAACTACATAATATCAATGAAACTAGAGAAATGTATAACAGAAAATATTCATTGTCAAACCAAATTGGCCAAATACTCACATGACAGTCACGTTGAATATTTCTCCTGTATTCACAACTTGACCACTGTTCAGGGTAAACCTCTCTAATTTACACGAAAACTGGTACTGAAGTCAGATCAATGGGAATGAAATAAGGCTTGAAATGTACATCAAGCAACTGGTAGAATTTTTCCCCAAATATACAACTGCCAATAAAGCGTTCATTGGGCCATTAAGGATATCATCAGGAGCAGAGAGAGGGACACTTACCATGAAAGTATACTTTGTAAACAGTCAGCAAAACAAAGCTTATCTTTAAATCAGCTGTCTGTGGTCTGATTTGTAACACACTCTTAACATGAAATTGCAAAGTCAACTTTTTTTATGTAGCCTGTTGCTAAGAAAATTAGCTACACCCCAAGGAAAATTAGGAAACGTCCTTCTTGTCTATAACAATTTTAATACAATTGTAATTAAACCACACTTATCACAAAGCATTACATGAAACAGAAGAGAAAATTGTTTGACTTCATTTTTACATTTATCTCCTCCTTTCAGTACAAAACTCCACGACCTGTACTTTATCTAAAATCTTAATCCATTATTCAATTTGCAAAAAAAAGTTCACATTTACCTTCAATACTCCATTCTCCACATATAAGTAGATGTAGTGGGTCCAGTCAGCATTATAGTCAGCATCAGAGTAGAACAAGGTGCCATTAGCCTGGAGAGACAAATATATCATTTGACAGAGAGAGAGAGCGAGCATTAGTTTGCACAGGAAAATATAGATGGAGCCAGCTATGTACCTAGAACACAGCATCTGGGAAAGAGTTTGTTTTAGCCAATCACAGGTGAGTAAAGTGGCAATAAAATTACTGCTCTCATTTTGATGTATGATTTATAAAATATAATCAATAATTTAATTAATTTATGAATTCAATAACAGGGCAGGGGTGAAGCAAGTTTTCATTTGCTCTCTGGACTGTCTTTCATATAACCTACGTACATGTATATAATACTATTTACCTGTGTTGTATTGAACTCCAAGGCAATAGCATTGGACTGCTGTAGCTGAAGGGGTGAAAGGGGGGGAGGGCGCAAGGACACATGAGATATCCTGTACTCTTATATATAACTTAGACAATTACCTGTGTTGTATTAAACTCCAAGGTGATAGTATTGGACTGCTGTAGCTGAGGGGGAGGGTACATGAGATATCCTGTGCTGTCATACTGGGAACTGCTGTAGGACTTTTCTGGAAATATGAAAATTAAAGCATAATCTATTAGAAAAACGTAATAAAAATAATGCTATTTTAATGAAATGGATTTCATTTTCTCTTCTGACTTTAATTTTTTTAAACAATTCCATATAGCACTGGTATGGTAACAAAATATAACACTGGAAACACCACAGTCTAGAGAATTTAAGTTGTATAAAAAATTTCACGTCAAACATTATTGACAGTTATTTTTACACCCACCTGTTTCGCATCGTTTCCCTTCGTACTTAAACGTACACATGCACATGTAATCCAGCACTCCATTTTGTGTAACATTGACGCAGGTTGCTCCATTTAGGCAAGGTTCTGCATTACAGCCACGAGATGGAGCCACTGTGCTGACTTCAGGTGTCGTCTGCTCTGTGGTGGGTAGTGATGTGGATTGGGGAGATGTGGATTCAGAAGTGGATTGAGGAGTTGTAGATTCAGATGTGGATTGAGCAGAAGTGGATTCAGAAGTCCTTTGGGTGACAGAAGACTCCCTAGTTGTAGTAATATCTGAGGTGGTTTGCTCATCTACAGGTTTCGGTGTTGTCTGTGTAGTGGTGGATTCTGCAGAAGTGGACTCTGGTGTGGTCTGGGCAGAGGTGGACTCTGGTGTGATCTGACCCACAGTGGTTTGAGCCCCAGTAAACTCAGTGCTGGTTTGTGGCGCAGTAGATGCAGTAGTAGTAGTAGTAGTAGTAGCAGTAGTAGCAGCAGCAGTAGCAGTGGTAGCATTACTGGTAGTGGAATCTGCCATTGTTTGTGCTGTGGTGGTGGTAATTGACTGTGTTGTTGTGGATTGCTGAACAGTGGACTTTGCAGTGCTATGACTGAAAGATTCAGGAGTTGTTGTGATTCCTCCTGTTGCACTGGTTGTAGAGAAACTATATTCAGCTGTTGTGAATCCTGTAAAATCACTAGCAGTGGTTGTTTCTTGGGTGGCAGATTGAGTTATTGTAGTACTTGGAGGCGTGGATTCCTTCTTGGATGTGGTCTCACTGGTGGGTGTGGTTACAGTGGAGGTAGGCGTGGTGCCTATGGTGGTTGGCATGGTTACATCAGTGGTGGGTGTAGTTACTCCAGTGGTTGGCATGGTTACTCCAGTGGTGGGTGTGGTAAGTCTAGAAGTAGGAGTGGCTACTGAAGTGGTTGGCATGGTTACAGTGGTAGGAGGTGTGGTTACACTGTCAGTGGGTGTGGTCAACCCAGTGGTAGGCATGGTTTCACTGCTGGTAGTGGCTCTGCTTTCTCTCTCAGGCACAGTCCCCGTCGCTGACTCAGTTGAAGTGGCTGTAAATGTGGTAGTTAAGGGTTCTTTAGAGCTTGACACCGCAGTTGTTAGCTTATCTGTTGTGGTCTCTAAAGGGACAGTTGTGGTTGTGGTGATTTTGACTGCCTCAGTTGTTGTTGGTTGAGCACTCCCTGTGGTACCAGTTGTTGGCATGGTAACTGTCACCATGGTGGTACTGGTTGAACTGACAGTTTCAGGTGCTGTTCTTGCTGTTGATATCATTGTTGATGTGGCTGCTGATGAAGGTGTCACTGATTGGGAAATTGTCACTGGAACAGTCGATGTTGCTAAAAAATGAGAAAGTTCTATATCAATAATACGATATATCAAAAATATGAAGTGAAATGAAAATATTTCTCAAAACTATTTTCAAGTTACTAAGAAAGTAAAATACTATAAATTTTGCAAATTTTTGCAAAATTCTTAAATATCACAACATGAACATTTCTGCAAACAAACCTTTCTATTACTGCCACAGAAACAAATTAAATATTAGATGTTAATAGCACCACAAACAGCAATTAATGAAACAACAGGATGAGCATAATATTTTACATACAAATTATTTCACATAAAACAAATAAAAACCACTTACACATATCTCCAGTCAAAGTGCTAAAACTCGGCTGTGAAACTGTAAAACTCAAATCAACCAAAGAAGCAAAATTAGTGTGCGTTACATCAGGCATGTCTATGCTGCTGCTAGGCAACACACTGTCACTAGGCAACACACCATCACTAGGCAACTGAGTACTGCTAGGCAATGAACTGCCAATAGGCAATACACTGTCACTAGGTAAGGGTAGGCTGGTGACTTTTTCAGACACACTTGGTAATTTTCCACTGGCTGATGATAAAACAGTTTCCATGGCAATTGTTGTGAATGACAGGTCACTTGACATGATGGGAGGAGTCAATGTCAGTGTTGATAAGGACTTTCCAATAACAGATGTGGGTGCAACATCTGAAACAAAGGTTCCAGTTGGAATCATTGATGCAGCTGATGCTGTTTCACTTGCTGATGAAGAAGGGACCAATGTTGATGAAGAGATTTGAAGTGTGTCACCAAATGTTGTTGTTAGTGAGTCTGACATCAGCACAAACGATTCTGAAACTACGACATAAGTTGTTGTGTTGGAAGGTTTAACATCTATGCTTGTACTTGTATCACTTGTGGAGAAACCAGTATCGCTAGAGGGTGAACCAGTATCACTCAATGTTGAACCAGTATCGCTAGAGGCTGAACCAGTATCACTCAATGTTGAACCAGTATCACTAGATGTTAGTCCAGTACCACTTGATGCTGAACCAGTATCACTAGTGGCTGCACCAGTATCACTTGATTTTGAACCAGTATCACTGGATGTTGAACCAGTATCACTCAATGTTGAACCAGTATCACTCAATGTTGACCCAGTATCAGTAGAGGCTAAACCAGTATCACTTGATGTTGACCCAGTATCACTTGAGATGAAACTAGATTCTGACAGCCTAATTACAGATGATGGTAACACTGTAACTGTCTCAGATGTGGACACAGTTGAGGCAAAACTTGATGTTGCTGCTAATGATGGTGCTGATGGCTGTAATACACCCGAAGTTGTTAACGTGTCTCTTGTTGCCGTTAATGTTGTTACTGAAGCCGAAGGCACCATTTCAGATGTCACTGATGAAACCACTGAAACTGGAGTTGCAACTGTTGCTGTCAGTGTTGTTACTGGTGCTGATGGTACCACTGTTGTAACAGTTGTCTCTGTTGCTGTTGGCACTGCTGTTACTGGAGTTACAACTGATGCTGTCAGTGTTGTTACTGGTGCTGATGGTGCCACTGTTGTAACAGTTGTCTCTGTTGTTGTTGGCACTGCTGTTACTGGAGTTACAACTGATACTGTAAAAGTTGCTCCTGATGTTGATGATGCCATTGTTGTTGTTATTGTTGTTGTTGATATTATTGTCAATGGAATTGTCGATGAAAATACAGAAGATGATCCTGTAACTGGCCCTGTTACATAGCTGTCTGGCAAAGAGGAAGGTTTAAGAGATGAAAATGTCTCTATAGATGCACCGAACTCACTCAAAACAGACTGAACACCATATGTCACTGTCACAGCCTCTGCTGATGTCCCTAACAGTGATGTTGTTGACAAAGATAAATCACCTGTGGATACAAAAGTTTTCAAAGTGGTGGCACTGGGTTGTATATCAGACAATGATGGTGCTGATGTTGCAGTTGCTGCTGTTATTGATGCAGCTGGTACTGACAGTGTTGAAGTTGTTGACTGGTCTGAGAACACTACACCTGTCTCTGGTTGTTGTGATGCCACTGATGGCACTGTTGAAGAGGAAAATACTGCACTTTTCACAGACACTGATGTATCTGGAATTCTTGTCAGGTCAGATTCTGTTGGTATGGAAGAAGTTGTTTCAATTAATGTATCAGAAAAGGAGTTAACTTCTAAAGCAGTGCTTGATAGTAAACCAAAAGAAGCAAATGGTGAGTGTGTTAATGAATCAACAAATCTTGATGGCATTACAGAAGCAAATGACTGTGTTAGCGACGCATCATCAGTAACCATGGTTACACTTGGTAACACAAACTCAAAACTAGTGGCCACAACATCAACGGTTACAGGTGATGAAGAAAATAACAGCACACTGCGGCTGTCTTCAGATATTAAACCTGAAAGAGTGTCTTGCATTGTGCTGCCTCCTACAGTTGTATCACCAGTTACTGTCATTGTCGTTGTTGTTGGTGGTGTAGCTATAACAGTTTCACATTGATCTCCTGAGGCATAATAAGGGCAGATGCAAATGAACGTATTTATGCCGTCCTGACATGTTCCGCCATTTTGGCACCTTGGTTGTGGCAGACAGTCGTCATAGTTTTGTTCACAGTTCAACCCTCCAAGTCCAGCAGGACAGAAACACCTGAAAGAGGTACAGCAGAAAATGGTCAGACAGGAATATAAATCTCAATGTTTGTTTGGATTTCATTAATATATTGCATAAGGTAACACTTTAATTAATATGTTGTCCTTGACAGGATTTAATTGTAAGTTTCAGCTTTGAAATTATTAGACCAAAATTAATCAGTTATTGATAAATCATAATTTACACTTTTAACATTAACCACAACAAAATTATGTAATTCTATATACATTTTAAATATAGTGAAGATTTGGTGGTAATGATAAGATAATGGTAATGATAAGATAATAAATTTACTTTTTCATTTCACAAACACAGTTTATTTTCACATATCAACAAACACTATAAATCAAAATATTTTCAAAAAAATTCTGCATGTATCTAAATGTGAGAATTTATCCTATATCTTACTCATATCCAAACCCAGTAGCCCTTTCCTCACAGAGTCCTCCATACTGACAGGGATTACTGTCACATTCATTGATGTCAGCCTCACAGAGCTGACCTGTCCACCCTGGCAGACACTGGCACATGAAAGCATCGATGTCGTCCTGACAGGTGCCGTTATTCTGACATGGGTCTGACAGACATTCATCGATGTTCGTCTCACAGTACAGGCCAGAGAAGCCAGTGACACAGCTAAATATAGAAAAACAGAGCTATGAAATATTTTTTCTATAGCCTGAGAGACTTTTTTTTTTTTTTTTGGCATGGTATGGCACAGAGTGAAAAGTATTTCTACCATAACATGTTAAAACTGGCCCGAAGACCAACAGGGGGCAACTTGGAGACTGGTAGATTCTCTCAAGTCTTTATTTAACAGTACAAACTATTGTCACCAAGAAGCAACTGCATGAGCACTGGTATGCTAACTCTAGTGTGTTTCAATTAAAATATTTAAATCAATGTATTGCTCTGTATTCTGTCAGACCACAAAATTTGTTGAACTGCATAAGCATGTTTCTAATTTCATTTGCTTGTGCACATATATTATCTTTTCCCTCTATGAGGCAGCTAATAAAAAAATAAATAAAAATAAAAAACAACTATACAAACCTGCAAGTGAACTCATTCCCCACTCTGTCCTCACATGTCCCTCCATTAAGACACTGGGTGAAGTTACCAACACGGCAGACGTTGATGTCAAACTCACAGCCCGGACCTAACAAAGAACAATTCACATCATTCTTAAAAGATGGCCTATTTGTTGTAAGGCAGACAGGTAGGAATGGTATTATCTAGTCTAGAGTTTTATCCAAAATCCACTTGTGCACACTGCAAATACAACTCTTTCTATGATTTTTAATGTCATTATTTCATATAAATGTAGACATGACACTGCTCTTTCTTACCAGTAAAACCTGGAGCACAAGAGCAAATATAGCCTGCAACGCCATCTATGCATGTGGCGTTGTTCCTGCAAGGGTCACTGAGGCACTCGTCTATGTTAACAGAACAGTTCTTCCCTGTCCAGCCAGCTTCGCATATACAGCGGTAGTCTTGGGTTAAATCTTCACAGCTGAGAAAAAAATTGTATTTCACTAGTTAATTTTTTAATAATTTCATTAAGCTCAATTTGTGCCAGAAAATATACGATAATTTCAAAATAGAATCTTCAAAATTTACCTTGTTTGCAAGCACTGCCAAATTCCTTATCAAAAAATACCGAAACCAAGTCAGAATATAATTATTTTCTTCATCATTCTAATTCATTTATATATTTCTCTGATTTTTTTCTCATTTAATTAATAAGAAAATGACAAAACTTATACCTTCCATGGACACAGGGATCGGGAGCACAGTCATCGATGTTGGTCTGACACCTGTTTCCTGTATAGCCGCCATGACACTGGCAAGAGTACCCATTTATGGCATCTCGGCAGGTGGCGTTGTTCAGGCAGGGACTGGATGCACATTCTTGGATATTGACCTCACAGTTTACACCTAGAAAGTAAAATATTAAATCAAATATATATATATATACTTATTAGGTAAATGAAGGATGAACATTATATTATTATATTTAAAATTGGGCACAAACACATGTTATATGGTAGAGTTAAATGCTCTGCAGATATCCGAATTAGCTAAGTTTTCTAACGAAGTCTATAAAATATAGACAAAAAATCTTGATAGCTCATCCCATTTGCCATATGTTAATTGGAGGCCTGCATGAGATTTTGTTTCAATTCTTTCAAGACTGAAACAATTACTTGATGAATCAAAATATACAATGTGGCACAAACTTTGGAAGAGGTTGATTGGCACATGTAGCCTCATCCATATATGGTGCGGTACCCACCCACTATACCCATATATGGCAATGTCTCCACCCACCTGTAAATCCTGGTAGACAGGAGCAGCTGTATCTAGCCTCTAGATTGGCACATGTGGCATTGTTATAACATGGGTCACTCAAACACTCGTTGATGTCCTGCTCACATGTTGACCCTTCAAATCCTGCAGCGCAGTCACAAGTGTACCTTTTAATGAAAAGGTCAAAAATATTGAAGACTAACTCTAAAGTGCATTATTACTGCACGCCCTTTCTTTGAAGCAAACAAAGGTGTGAAATGAATGAACAGCTCTCTCAAAGAACACAAGATAATCTGGATAAATTTCTAAAATCAAATATTTACTTACCCATTCACCCTATCTCTACAAGTTGCTCCATTACGGCAAGGATCTGATGCACATTCATCCACATTTTCACCACAATCCTTCCCAGAATACCCTTCTGGACAGTGACACCTATAGTCCGCGACCAGGTCCTCACAGGATGCGTTATTTCTACAGGGTGTTGAGGCACACTCATTGATGTTCACTTCACAGTTTACTCCAGCAAAGCCTAGAATTAGTATTACATCAGAACTTTTACATGCTATTTTTTCCTATCTTTTCCAACATTACAACAAAGGGCATGGCATAGATTGATAATATTGGAAATTTGACTATTGTATGTGAAATCAACATGGAGATGTTGGTATAAAAACATCTTAATGAAATACAGCAAACAAATAATGTGCAGCAGAAAACTAATTAAGTTGTAATAAGCCATAATTGTCAACACTAGGAAAAAATTCACTATTTGCTCAAGAGACTCGCTGAAAATATTATTCAAGAAAACAAGTAAGAAGTATTAAATCTTTCTCACATGCTGAGAATTACATTTGTATCTAAATTATTATCAGATCACCTGCATTCGTCTTTGCTCACAAGCCAAAACACCACCTCATGGAACTTTTTCTCTCACCTGCTGTGCAATTACAGTAGTACCTCCCATCCTCCAGTGTAATACACGCTGCCTCATTTTCACACTGATTGTGCTCTGCATCGCAAGGGTCGTAACTACTGTCACAGAGGCGCCCAGTAAAAAATGGTGGACAGATGCACTGGAAGTCGTTCAGTTGATCCACGCATGTGGCCTGGTTCATGCACTGATTGGTCAGACACTCATTGATTTCCTGGTCGCAGTTTTTGCTGTTCCACCCTGCTGCACACTGGCACCTTGAAAATGGGTGGAGACAGATAGATATATATATATAGCTATGGATACAGTGGGTGGAGACATAGCTATATATATATATATATATATGGATACAGTGGGTGGAGACATAGCTATATATGGAAGAAGTGGGTGGAGACAATGCTATAAATGGATGAAGTAGGTGGAGACATGACTATATATGGATAATGTGGTTAAAGAATATGCCTGTTTATGAATTATGTTGGTGGGTACATAATTATGGATTTTAGTAGAAAAATTTTAGGTGCTTTGATGTAAATATTTGGACACAAATACACATTTCAAAATATCAACACTTATACTTAGAAGCATGCACCTGACAGCATCCATGATATGAAACACAGCTGTAATCACATAGATACCTATAATCATTGAAGAGATCAATGCATGTAGCACCATTCTGGCAAGGTCCTGATGTACATTCATCTTTCTCTCTCTCACAAAACTGTCCGTCCCAGCCTGGGGTACACTCACATCTGAAACATAACATATTTTGTGGATGTCAGAATTAATTGAAATGTTATTTTATTTCCAATGTTGTCTATTTATTACCTCAGAAATAGAGTTTTTCCTTTGTTGGTTTCTTGGTCCGTTAGTTAACAACCAAACTTGAATCATTTTACATGAACAAGTAGACAGAATCTGATAAAATTTTCAGGATGGTTTAGAAATGAGTTAACTAATAATAGGTTGGATTTCTGTGGTCTACTGATTTATAACAATAATAATAATTAGAAATGAGCTGCTTGAGTAAAGCTTTGCTTTTCTAGTTTGATCATTAGTTCATTCATTTATTCACTGTTATCCCAACAATGTTCAATAAACATTTAAAAATTGGAAAAGACGATAAGATGGAGAGGGTGGTTACCTGTACAGTTCATTCATGTCTACACAGGTGGCATTATTCTTGCACTCGTTATTGACGCAATCATCAACCACTTTTTCACAGTCCAGACCAGCCCATCCTGGGGAGCACAGGCACTTGTAGCCATTGATAGCATCGATGCACAGTCCTCTCCCATTGCACACTGATTCTCCTGGCGGGCGGAAACAGTCGTCAATGTTGATATCACAGAGTGGACCTGAAGGTGAAGGTCATGTTTTAATTTATTAAGGAATAATATTCATTTGAAGAATTTACCAGATTTGCTGATGTCAAAATTTGTATTTTCAGCTGTCAAAGAAAGCATTGGAAGAAAATAGCAATTAAGCTTGAAAATAAAGTTATTTAACAGGAAGGACCCTTTAAATTCAAAGATTCAATAAAGTTCAATAAAGTATACTTGGTTAAACAGAGAAAGATAAATGAACTAAATCTCTCTACTCTGAGATGCAAAAGACAGGAAAAAACTGCATCCATTTTCCAATGATAATATTACAAAAAAATTTTCAATAATTTTTACTGCAGTTGTAACATGTAGCTTAAGCTATTTCTGTGCAAATTCACAAAATCAATGAAACATTTCTGGTATTTGATACTGAGGCTTAAAAATGAAGAGTACCCCATGCAAATGGGTTGAGACATGACTGTATATGGATGATGTGGGTGGAGACATGACTGTATATGGATGATGTGGGTGGAGACATGACTGTATATGGATGATGTGGGTGGAGACATGACTGTATATGGATGATGTGGGTGGAGACATGACTGTATATGGATGCTGTGGGTGGAGACATGACTGTACATGGATGATGTGGGTGGAGACATGACTGTATATGGATGATGTGGGTGGTGACATGACTGTATATGGATGATGTGGGTGGAGACATGACTGTATATGGATGCTGTGGGTGGAGACATGACTGTATATGGATGATGTGGGTGGAGACATGACTGTACATGGATGATGTGGGTGGAGACATTACTATAAATGATTGCAGTGGATTAGTACCTTACCATATGTGGAAAAAGCTTACCAGCAAATCCTGGAAAACATGAGCAATGAAACCCATCTGGTAAGACAGAGAAGTCATTGGTACAGTTAGCGTTCTCACACGGAAACAAGTCACAAGGCAGAAGAGAGCAGTCATCGCCTTTATAAGGGATGGGACAGTCGCAGATAAAGCCATTAACTTGGTCTCGGCAAACTCCTTCATTGGTGCAGGGGTCAGACTCACATTCATCTATGTCTGATTCACAGTGAGCACCTGTTATAGATACAAAGATATAAATGAATATATAATATTATATTTTTAATTCATGCAGATTAACCAATTTATTTAGTACAGTGTCTATAATTCTGAAATCAAGTTTTAAATTAGTTGAATTGTTCTTCTCAAATCAAGCAATTAGAATCATGATCATTACTTTAAATTTATCATTTAAATGCACAGCATTTTATCTTTAAATAATTTATTCTTGGCTCTACTCAAATGTTACAATTAGTATTGATATTAGAAAGACACTAAATTACTTTGTACATCTTTCATCTCTGTAGGTTTCTTTAAAAAGGGCAAGGTATATCTAAATGTTACTTTTTAAAAGGGATTTCCATACTACACTGTACCTGTAAAACCAGGTGCACACTGGCACAAGTACCCGTTCACTAAATCTTGACAAGTCCCCAAGTTCTGACATGGAGTACTGGTACATTCATCAATGTCTTCTTCACATGTTGTGCCTAAAAGATGAATAAGAAAAAATGAATGAAAAACTGTTTGATCTTAAAAAGCTCTGTTTACCATTCATTTTGTGAGTGCAGTCACAAACCTCAGTCCTGTAGGAAAAACCAATCAACAAAGACAAAAAGTGATCTTATGCTCCAGTCCATTTTGGAACTTCATATCAAAGAGGACTCCAGCAAATCTAATACAAAGCAGCACAGGGGCTCCATTTCAGTGACTTTCTAATGTTTAAGTCTGGCCATTAAGTTGTCAATCTCTCAAAGTGAACTAGACAATTTTTCTATTCTGCTCGAGGCAAAATTCAATGTCAGTATGATGATCACAGCCAACTATGATACAAGGACTTCACTTAATGTCCTGTTCACTTAATGTCCTAGATAAAACAAAGAATGGAATTTACCAGTAAATCCTGCTGCACAGGCACATGTGAACTCTGCGATGCCATCTTGACACGTGGCATTGTTCAAGCACGGCGCACTCAGGCAGTCGTTGTAGTTCTCTGAGCAGTACTGACCTGAAATACATAATATAAAATACTAGTTTATAAAAAATTACTGATATGGCAGATACAAACATCTTGTTTCTAGATAGCATATACTGAAATTCAAATAAAAATTAATTTGTGAAGCATTGCCATAAAACTGCACCACTATTTTTTTTTATTAAGTTATTGTTATCCTGTCTACTTTTTCATTTATTTATTTACTTCTATCTATTTATCTATCTGCCTGTATAGTTCTCCAATCAATAATTTATTCACGTTTCCATGTACAATGTCAATGTTTTTTTTTTTTTTAATTAATGTAATTTAAGCAAATTCACAAGTGTATAATCATCATCATCATCTTCATTTTTCTTTTTCTTCTTATCAAAACTATTATTATTATCATGATTGTTATAATTTGAAGAACTTTTACCAGTGAATCCATTAGCAGAGAAACACTGCACCAAGTCAGATTATTATAAATATTATAATACAAGAATTCTTACCAGTGTAGCCATTAGCACAGAAACACTGCACCAAACCAGATTCCAGTTGTCTGCAGACAGCTCCATTCTGGCAAGGATCTGAGACACAAACTTCTGTCTTCAACTAATTATAATAATAATAATAATAATAATAATAATAATAATAATAATGAGAAGGAGAAGTTATTGAAATTGTGGTCCACATTTATCCATAGTTTTCTAAAGTACTTGTACCAATATTTTAACACAAAATTCAAAAATTTTCAATCATACCAACAAATATTGCCAAAACTAAGTGATACTTAGCGCAGCTGAAAGTGTAACACTTTTCTTAAATTATGTGTCTTCATCTTTTATCAGCTCAATTAAATATAATTTCTGACATAAAAAATTAATTTCTATAAAAATATGGATACTTCCACAATAGTCCTGTCTTCTTAGAAGTATATACAGTTTATATCAAATTCTGCTATGAAAATTTTCCATCAAAATATAATGACCATTAATAATTCAATCAAATAAATCTAGACGACTCAAATCTCATTCTAAACAATGAAAAATAAAGGCAAAACACAGTAAAATTCTTCACTTTTTCCACAGCAAAATTAGAACTTTCTTATAAAAATTTGGCTCAAAGTTACAATACCAGCAAAAGTTTTCACTTACCTCACAGAAAGGGCCAGAGTAAGTTGGAGGGCACACACAACTATAGCCATTCAAACCGTCCACACAAGTGGCTCCGTTAAGACAACTGTTATCACTGCAGTCATCGATGTTAATTTCACAAAACTCTCCAGTAAAACCATCAACACATAGGCAACTGTAAGAATTTACACTGTCAATACAAGTAGCATTGTTGGTGCAACTGTTACTGCTGCAGTCATCAATGTTAGTCTCGCAAAACTCTCCAGTGAAACCAGGAACACATTGGCAACTGTAAGAATTCACATTGTCAATACAAGTAGCATTGTTGGTGCAACTGTTACTGCTGCAGTCATCAATGTTAGTCTCGCAAAACTCTCCAGTGAAACCAGGAACACATTGGCAACTGTAAGAATTCACATTGTCAATACAAGTAGCATTGTTGGTGCAACTGTTACTGCTGCAGTCATCAATGTTAGTTTTGCAAAACTCTCCAGTGAAACCAGGAACACATTGGCAACTGTAAGAATTCACATTGTCAATACAAGTTGCATTGTTGGTGCAACTGTTACTGCTGCAGTCATCAATGTTGGTTTCACAAAATTCTCCAGTAAAACCAGGAACACATTGGCAACTGTAAGAATTTACACTGTCAATACAAGTAGCATTGTTGGTGCAATTGTTGCTGCTGCAGTGATTGATGCTACTCTCACAAAATGTTCCCGTGAATCCACTCAAGCACAGACATGTGAATGAACCAATGCCATCGATGCATGTAGCATTATTACTGCAACTGTTGTTACTGCAGTCGTCAATGTTATGTTCACAAAATCCACCTGTAAATCCTAGAGCACACTGACAATGATATGAATCAATACCATCGATACAAGTTGCACCATTGCTGCAATTGTTGTTACTGCAATCATTAATGTTTGACTGACAAAAATCACCAGTATAACCACTAACACACTGGCAGTAGTAACCACTGACATCATCAATACACGTAGCATTATTGCTGCAATTGTTCTTACTGCAGTCATCTATGTTAGTCTCACAAAACTCCCCTGTGTATCCATCTGAACACTGACAGTAATATCCATTGTCAGCAACAATACACGTTGCATTATTGCTGCAGTTGTTCTTACTGCAGTCATCGATGTTAGTCTCACAAAACTCCCCCGTGTATCCATCTGAACACTGACAATAATATCCATTGTCAGCAACAATGCATGTTGCATTATTGCTGCAGTTGTTGATACTGCAAACATCAGTGATTGTTTCACAAAATTTACCAGTAAATCCAGGAGTACAGTGACAATTATATGATTGGATGCCGTCGATACAAGTTGCATTATTGCTACAATTGTTTTGACTGCAATCATCAATGTCTGTTTCACAGAAGGATCCCGTGAATCCTGCAATGCACTGACAGTAATATCCCATGATATCATCAATGCATGTTGCATTATTGCTGCAGCTGTTGTTACTGCAATTGTCAATAATGGTTTCACAGTATTGTCCGGTGAAACCACTCAAACACTGACAAGTGTATCCACTGCTGTCACTGACACAACTTGCATTATTACTGCAATTGTTACCATCGCAATTATCAGTGACAACTTCGCAGTAAACTCCCGTAAATCCAATTGGACAGGCGCATGTAAAATTATTCACAGCATCCAGACAAGTTCCGCCATTTTTGCAGGTGATGTTGTACAAGAGGCACTCATTTATATCTTTCTCACAGAGGGAGCCACCGTAGCCTGGAAAACAGAGACACTGGAATGTCCCGTTTTCCATAAGGGATATGCAGGTTGAGTTGAGCAGACAAGGAGCAGAGGAGCAAGGGTCAACAATATTACAATCTTCATCATAACGAGGACCATCTTCAGGGCATGTACAGCTGTAACCACTGGCCGTTGTCATGCATGTTCCTTGGTTGCACGGGTTAGGATCACAAGTTAGGGAGTTATTACAATACACACCTGTAAATCCAGGTGCACACGAACACGTGTATGCATTCAAGCCATCAACGCATGTGCTGTTATAAGCGCAAAGATTGGCCACACAATCATCAACATTTACCTCGCAATACTGCCCTAAGTAGCCTTCTGCACATGCACACGTGAAGTTGTTGAATCTGTCCACGCATGTGCCACCATGTTGACATGTTACATTTAATGTTTCGCATTCATTTGTCTCCCTCTGACACTGTTCACCTTCGTAGCCTAACGAACATGCACATGTGTAATTCAAAGTTACGAAATCACTGAGGCATGTGGCATTGTTCCTGCACGGCGTTGACAAGCAAGGATCAAGGTTGACCTCGCAGTCCAAGCCAGAATACCCTGGTGCACATGCGCACGTGTAGTTTGCGACACCATCGATGCATGTAGCATTGTTACGACAAGGTCTGCTGTCACAGTCGTTGAAGTTGATGGAGCAGTTATCCCCAGTATAACCTGGAGAAAGTAAATTATATAATAATAAATTATAAGAAATAGTCTTTTTTTTTCTTTTTACACAAGAAGCAAATATACTAGTCTATCAGTAACAAGATTAGAGTGGATAAAAACAAGATGATACCCACAGGGAATACAGAATACAAGCTGAACATTGGCAATTTCAACTTCACATTTTTTTTGTTAAATTGCTGAATTCTGCAAGAAACTGTTGATATAAAACAAATTATGAATTAATAAAACTGTAAATTTTCTTTTTCAATAGTTTTAGAATATTACCTGAGATCCATACATTAACTTACATTGCATTAAGAATTTGCAAAAAAAAGTCGCATAACAGAGAACTCACACACACACACACACACACACACACACACACACACACACACACACACACTTACCATCCACACAATAGCACTGGTAACCAGCCACAAGGTCAACACAAAGGGCTCCATTCAAACATGGATCAGGATCGCAGTCATTGATGTTTGTTTCACAATGTCTTCCTTTGTAGCCTAAAAAACACAAACATATACAAAACATTTCTTTGAACAACTCAACTAAAATAGTTTTAACTATAAAATCTTAAATATTAAAATATTAAAGACATAAAATGCATGCTTGTATTTTAAATCCTTTTTCCTGGAAATTTCAACACTTTTCTTAAATCACCAAGCTACAAGAATCCAGAAATGCAAAAAATATGATCATAATAAATTTGCAATGTACATACCACTTTAAGTCTAAAGCTTATCTTATGCACAATTGTTAAACCACCACATAACATATCTTAAATGGTTTGTAACAGACACTTGTTTTCTACTCATCAATGACACAAAGCACCATCATTATACTAACCTGGGACACAGAGCACCATCATTATACTAACCTGGGACACAGAGCACCATCATTATACTAACCTGGGACACAGAGCACCATCATTATACTAACCTGGGACACAGAGCACCATCATTATACTAACCTGGGACACAGAGCACCATCTTTATACTAACCTGGGACACAGAGCACCATCATTATACTAACCTGGGACACAGACACAAGTGTAATTTCCATCTTGTTGCTGACATGTGGCATTATTTTGACAAGGCTCGCTTGAACACAGCGGAAGGGGGATGTCGCAGAAAACTCCAGTAAATCCTAAAATTTTAATATGGGATTGAAAAACCAAAGCAATGCCATTTAACCCTGATGGTCTCCCTGCCTCTCGGAGCCGAGATATACTCTGTTTCATGGTCGTGTTGAGGCAGGGAGACCATTAGGGAATTAAGTGACTTGCTTTTAAGTGGGGTCAGCCATCTTTAGTCAGCAGATGTTGGCCCATATCTGGCCAAAACTGAAAATCTGTCTTTAACTTTTTGAGTTAGGAGATCAACTAACAAATCAACTAAGTCAAAAACAGCAACAAAATTAGTCAAGTACTCACCTGTGGGACAAACACACACATATCCACCAATCATATCCATGCATGTGCTGTTACCATGACAACCATGCTGGACACAGTCATCAATGTCAGTCTCACACAGCCTGCCTGTGAAACCCACGGCACACCTGCAGGTGAAGTTGTTGTATTTTGGATGCTGGACACAGGAGGCATTGTTCATGCAGGGAAATGAGAGACAGACGTCTTCTGGAATGGTGCAGTTCTTAAAAAAAAAAAAGAACTCATGAAATTACCAAAAGGTTGACGTCATGTTTCCATGAAAAAATTCTTAGTAATTTTAGCAGTTCTTTAAATGCACTTAAAAGCCATAAGAAAGCCAAAGGATCTGGCGTCAAGCAGCCGCTGACTAGTTTTGATTTTAATAATTTTCCTTGAGATCTTTGATATCCTAAAATTGCAACACTGCCCCATTTACATTCCTATGTTTTATCAATTCAATTAAAAAAGTTGGATGTATATCATTACACTTACGTAACATTAAGTTTCACATTTAATAAATTGAAAATATACTCATTCACCACTGGCTAAACTTAAAAGTTTTTAAGCTATCAAAAAGCATTATTAACAAAATAAAGATAAATTATAGTGTCTACCGCTGTTGTCCGTTCTCGTAGTCTCATTCCAACGGGCAGTCCATAACTTTCTCTATCGCCAGCTCCATACAGAATCCCCATGAAGGTGGCAGCACTGTCTGTGTGGTGAATCACATGACTACTCAGTTCTGAGGCTGTTCCAAGAACAAAGTATGTTCCAACATAGGTGGTTCCTAAATCATGATAAAAATATATATCATATAATATTTAAAATGCTGATCAGCTAGTATTATATTCCTAGTTAACATTTCTCTTTTTATTGAAATTGTAAAATGCCAAAATGCAAATAAATTTACCAGTAGAGAAATGAGCTGAATTCAATTGAAAAATCTTAGCTTATTAGACTTCTGCAGAAACACAACTCACAAAATATCTTTATGTTACAGTGGCTTTTTTTTACAAACAGAGGTGTTTGTTTCATTATTTTTTCAAAACTACTCCCATCAAGATTTTTAGATAAATAACCCAAGCCTGCTCTATCTACAAGATTAAATCTGAATCAGCAACATTGGGTCACTGCTTGACTACTTTGAACATTAAGGATAAGACTTATTTTTCCTGATGTCACACTACTGATTGAATCACTCTCTCAACAATTCCCCTTACCCGTTATGTTGTGCCAAATCAAATTGTTATAAATTTCACTCAGATTTCTTCCATCAAGTAACAGTCCATTCCTTGAATCTGTATCCACCACTATCAAAAAGTAGTGGGTGTAAGCAACAGCACCTTCTGAAGCTGCAGGAAGGACAAAATGAAAATCATTTCCATAATTCTCAATAGGGGGCACTAAGATCATGCTGGGGTCGGCCAGTTCGTTGGTTTGGGTACTGACTTGGCTATACACAATCTGGACCACCATGACTGGGTGATTAGCACTGATGTGGGTGTACGATGTTGATGGCAAGGTCATTTCCCATAATTCCCCTGGGTTTTGGATCTCCCTGATGACAGACGTGCTTTGATTTTCGACACGAATGGTCGTAGCCGCAACACTTGCGATAATACGAATCACATCACCTGTAGTTCTTTGCGGAATGGGGAGAATGGCAAATTCCCTGCCCCATGATGCAACAGGCGGGATTTGCTCAGCAAGGTGGTCACGAGATATCCCAGAGCCAACATTGGTTCGAACATTTCCACTAAACACAGCCACTGGCTTGCTTGATGTTATGTACGTCCCTGTTAAATCTGCAAACCCATCACTTTGAATTTGCACAGCGTCAAATTGATTCAGAGTCAAATTAAGGACATCTCCGTCTCTGTAGAGTGCCGAAAAATAATGGACATCAATTGGGGGATCACTGTTCTCTGGAAATTTGATACTGACGTTAGTGTTATTATCCACAGCTGCGATACCAAACTGTGTATTATAAGTGGGTGGAGCATAAGACACAGTGTAATATTCCGTTCCCAAAGTATGAACAGGGAGACACAGAAAACTGTCAGTAGAAAACTCGTCCTTGTTCACGGCATACACTAAAATGTCTTCATCGGACGTGATCCTTATCCCAGATCTTTCGAAATTTGTCCCAGCCATCCTGAGGTCCACTGGAACAGTCAGCGCTCTCATCTCACCGCTGCTGACTGTCACAGTGACTGCGGGGACATCTGGTAGCAGTTTTTGCTGGAGGCGAACAGTGGCGTTGATGATGTCCTCGCGACTTGGGGTTACAAAGACTTCTAGGAGCATGTACTTTGGCTGCTCAATTCTGTTCTCCATAAATATCAACATAAACTCTCTGCCACTGGTGTCTACCAGTTTGGTGTAGGTGTATTCTGTAAAGACAAACAGTGGTAATCAAGTAGATATTAGGCAGAACTATGAGTGAATGATCATCAAAGTTATGAAAACAAAATTTTAATACAATAAATGTATTAACAACTGAATAACTTCAGGTCCGTAGCCAGGTGGGGTTGGGGGGTTCAAAAGAGTCGCCCTTTTCGTCAGGGAAAGGTCCATTCTTGGTAAAATTTTATCTAGGTACACAAAAGTTTCATTGTAAAAGGTCTACTTATTTGGAAAAAAAATTAAAGAACCCCCTTTTGAAATTGCTGGCTATAGGCCTGGTGACAGAACATCTTATGAAAATAAAATGTTACTACAATAAATGTATTATAAACAACTGAATAGCTTATTGTGGACTGTGACAATATAAAACTTAAATGAGTGGCTAAGCACAGCAGATGGGAGGGAGGGAAGGAAGGAGCTTAGGAGGAGGGGAAGAAAGGAATGAAGAAAGAGAGGAGAGGGAGAGAGGAAGGGGGAGAGGGAGGAAGAAAAAGAAGGAGATTGGTGGGTGAAGAACAGAAGAAAAAAAACAGTTTTCAGGAAGGAAAGACCGAAAAACAGAGGGAAGAGAGTAAATAGGAAGAGAAAAAGTAGAGTGTGATAATCAAGACATGAAGAATAAATTACAGATTTCTGAAATTGCATTCCTTTTAAATACACAACTTTTGTGGAGAAAAAAGCAGTCTTAAACTGAGTTTTTAACCTGAACTGGTTCATGACCAAAATGTTTCACAGAATAGTCAAATTCGGGGGAGGATACAGAGCTATTTTTTCTGACAGTCTTTCAAATTATATTTGTTGATCCATTCTCAAATTTTGACAGTCTTCTGACAGAAAAAATCAGACACCCATCAATGTAAAACTGAAAGTAAAATTGGAAGACCCAGAAGACAGCCTCAATCTGGCCCTGAAATTTATCCAAGATGGATTTCAAATAGTCCATGGCCATCTCAGAGATGTTTAATGCAAAAGCTATACAGAGGCAACCTTTTGACTTGAATACATTGCTTCATATGACATTCCACTCACTAACCCCTTTCAGGTGAAATAAGTGTCATCCGTGTCACCAAGCCTTCTATACAAATATACCAGTCAATTGTGACATGCTTCGATGGACTTATTCATTGTTAGAGATTCTTCATATGGGATTCTCATGATTGTACTGATACCATTATAATAGATTTCTTTGCCACGGTTCAGATTCTTCATTTAATAGTAAACTCCTTGCCTTAAACATCCAAAGGGGGTATGGGAGAATTATTTTAACCCAATTCCAGCCAACTTCTGTAAGGGGTTTGTTTCTTTGATAAAATGTAGACTTTTTCATGCAGATTATAATGAATAACTTTAACAAAAAAAAAAAAAAAAAAAAAAAAAGATGTCTAAGTGGTGAATTTGGTTCTTCTAGTCAAAGGTTCACCCTTTAGGTAACCACCCTCTCCCCCCCCCCCTCCTCCCCCTTCTTCCCTGGCACTCCTACTCCACACAAAATCTCCCACGCATACATACTAGTACACAACCTGATCCACATTGATTTCAAATGCCGTCCATTCTGGCTTTCCACTTGCTTACGTAAATCTGTTATTCAGAAGGTATTATGCAGACTGGTTTGGAGATGAAGGTTGATTTCAGGGCTGTAAAAGGGAGCTCAAACTGGGGATACAACAGACCATTTTTTTTCATCTTTATTTGTTTTTAACTCTTTCGAACTACGGAGTCTTTATACATAAAGAGTGCTACAAAATGGTAAGTACATGTTTCTATATAAGTTAAAGATTTATCTTTTCCTTTATTTTCAGAAGTGTTTTAATAACACACAAGCAAACACACACCCAGAAAGAGAGAAAGAGAGAGAGAGAGAGAGAATATTGATTGACTTGTTCATTCTGATATGCAAAGAATAAGTGTAACAGTAGTTCAGTCGATCAGTAGTCAGTTTTAACTGATTAAAATCACTCACTTGACTGTGGTCACTCATTCAGACAGTCAATTATTTATAACATCCACTTTTAGATCTGTTTATAGAGATATTTATTAATAACTACATGTCTTCAAATATTGTCATTATATAACAATAATATAAATGAATCTTTAGTCAATGTAAATTCTTATAAAAAAGGCAAGAGCAAAACTTAAACAGTTTTGGAAATTAAAAATGTCCCAAAGAAAGTGATAAGCTTTATCATCACTCAAATGATATGCTTAATAAAAACTGAGTGTTTTTATAATTTTGCTTTAAATTTCTAAATATTTCAAACATCCTTTCACTGATAAATTAATATCCCATTACATTACTCATAGATGACTGCACTCGAAAAAGTTCTAAATCCATTTATCATTGACACACAAATATAAAACCATTTTAAAAAGAGCTTTAGATTTCAGATTTCACTTCAACTGTTATTTAGTGTGTGTATACTCAGTAATTGGAAATTAATGCAAATTATATATATTAAGGTGCATTTTGTCATTTATCCCACTTTTTATTGCACCCAACAACCAGATAATCTGAGGGAGAATACAGACTTGACCTAGCATGCTGTGATGTTAGACCTAAATACAAGAAAACTGACCTGCACTGTTGGATTTGGTACTCAGACCAGTTGTTTTCTCAGACATAGTAAGAAAGAGGAGTAAACAGTAAGGTGGATTTTCAAAAAATACACTTTAAAACAAAGAACAGGAAAAGGGAAATATATGCATCTTTGGACTGATGAAAGTGAGTACTGTAGTACCTTAACAGCCAATCATATATTTTGCTAGACAATATAAGAATTTTTGTAAGTAAGACCATTTACAATATCTACATTTACTGAAAGAGGCACATTTTTTTACTTAAAGAGTACTTTCCTTTTGTAATAGACAGATGATACAAGAAAGAGGGATATTTTTTAAGAGAGACTGATTCACTACATAGATGATGTAAAGAAGAGGGGTAGTTTTTAGCAAAGCTTTTATTTGAAGACAGATCATATCATTGATTCATAATGAAAGATATTTTAAAAACTTAATTTGCTAGTTCATGAACAAATATCTTTAGAAAGGATTTCAAAATTTGTGATATACTTCCATAAACAAATCCCTTCACGTATATTAAAGGCATACAATGTATAGTAAAGGCGCACAATCCTGCTAATTTCAGTTATGGATTTTTCTTTTATCACCATTTTATTCCCTGTTCAAAACCATTAAGAAAAATTGCAATGATATTATCACATTTTGAGTTTCACGTGTTTCTAATTTGTACTGTTACAAGTGAAAATCATTTGAAATCTATAAAGGTCTTATGCTATTTAATCATGTATTTACCTCTAGGTTAAGCTATGGGTAAAACAGAAGAAGCTGCAGTTAAGAAATACATTGAGTGGGAAAAAGCAAGATCTGTCTATGAAGAGCACAAAAAAATCGTCTACAAACTTGGCTCAGACTATCAGTCTGTTTGCAAGAACACAAAATCCAACAAGGAAGGATTCAAACAGCTTCAGAGAATTATACAAGACTGCTGGCTCCATCTGGAGGATTTGAGGAAAAAGATGGAGGCTGAAGCGTTTCAAGAAAAGACACCTCCCGAGAAGAGAGAGAGGCTGGTGAATCTGACAAAAGCCTTTGCAGACAACGCTAGAAAACGTAAGGCACAAGCAAAGAAGGAAGCAGAGCTAATGCAGAAATACACAGGTACTAGTATAGTATTATGAACTTATCTACATAAAAGTGATTAAATTGAAAAATACTTCATAATGGTTATATTGGAATCAACTATAAAAAATTATACTAGACTGATTTAATACTTCTTGTCATCACTGACAACTGAATTTCCCTTGTACAAAAAAAAGTAGTAATTCATAGAAAACCAGGATTCACAACCAGTCAGTAATATAGCAAGACAGATAAGCTTATAAATACTAGTACCGAATGAGCTGAATTCTAAACACCACAGTGACTATCAAAATCTCTTTTTTTTCTTGCACATTCAGACATGCGCAAAAATGTTGTCCTGGCAGAAACGGAGCGCATGGACGTCGACATCAAAATATATCACGAGGAAAACCACCACATCCGAGATTCTGTCCACCTGGCCATTCAAAGCTACAAGGAACCGCTACATCAGACTTTTTTACGAATCATGCACAGCGAAGGCACGTGCATTGCATGCTACTCGTGTTGTGCTTACTGCTGCTATTCGGAACCAATGTACGGAGTTTACGAGGATTTAAAAACACGTATAGAGATGCTGGTGCAGAGGAAATTTGTTTACTAAGGAGTCTGTGCCCAAGAAACTTTATAGCACTTTCAGGGTCTCAGAATGTTACTGCACAAAACAGAAACAGTGGCCAGAAACTGATAAATTTATACATTCTGACTCGAACATTGTCTCAATTTCATAGGTATTTGGCATGTGTCGATTATTTAAGTAGCAACATGTACTATTCGTATTAGTCATACGACACTATTGATTGTCATTTGACATACAACAAGTCACAGGACACTTGACAGTTTGACATTATCATGACAATTTTAATACAGGTCTATCACTTGGCAGGAGACAAGAAAAATACTTATCACTTAAATGACACCAAAAAAAAACATATTACTTAAATGACATCAAACTATCATTTTTTTAACTCACTCATTCATTAATTGACACAAATCTGACACTTCACATCTACTTACCAGTCTTAGGACAGACACAGCTATAGTCATTGACATTATCTTGACACTTTGACACTTTTACACACGTCTTCTTACCAGTTGTAGGACAGACACAGCTGAAGACAATGACACTATATTGACACTGACATTTTAAGACACATCTACTAACCAGTTGTAGGGCAGACACAGCTGTAGCCGTTGACACTATCTTGACATGTTGAACCATCAGGGCAGGGATCTGATGCACACTCATTGATGTCACTTTGACACTGTTTGCCAGTAAAACCTTTAATTTAAAATAAAAACATTTTAAAAACATTTTAAAAACCAGGCGTACACTTATAAATGTCAATTTACAAAGTGTTTCCATAAAATCTCTATTTAAATTGTCTTTTTGCTTATTTATTTATCTATGGTAACAAAGTATTCTAACAAGTGAAGATAATTTACTTAAGCATCTTTTAATAGTTACCTGGCAGGCAGGAACAAATGTACGTCTGCTCTTCATCATCTTCACTGCAGGTGGCGCCATTGAAACATGGCTGACTGTCACATGACCACATTTTGACCTCGCAATACAATCCAGTATAACCTTCCACACAGCTACAGGTATAACCACCACCTTCAGCTGTCTCCAAACATGTCGCATTGTTCTGACACTGCGATCTAGCACAGGGCGTGGCGAGATTCTCGCAATACTTTCCAGTGTAGACACTGGTGCAAATGCAGGTATAGTTCGATGAAGAAACCGCTGAACATGTGGCGCCATTTTGGCACCTGTTTTCACCACAGGGGTCTAGAAGGATTTCACAATTCGGCCCCGTGTAGTTCTGTGGACATGCACATGTGTAGCTGCCATCTGATAACGACACACAGGTGGCGTTGTTATCACAAGGACTAGAGCTGCAGCCACTGAGTTGAGATTCACAGTTTCTCCCAGAATAAAAAGCTGGGCAATCGCAGTGGTAATCCACAGTGCCATTAGGTCTACAGGTCCCATTGTTTTGACAAGGCTGCGATAGGCATGCATTCACGACTACATCACATGTCTGTCCAGTATACGTGCTTGCACACACACAACTGAAGTTTCCTGTTTCATCAGAAATGCATGTAGCATTGTTTTTACATGGTTGAGAATCGCAGGCACTAACCTGGATATTGCATATCCTTCCTGTGTGAAAAACCCCACAAACACAACTGAAGTTTCCCGCACTGTCAGTAACACAAGTGGCATTATTTTTGCATGGTTGTGAATCACAGGGATTTATGAAATTACTACAAGTTTCCCCACTAAAACCAGAGGCGCAGATACAGGTGAAATTGGAATTGCCTGTACCTGAAACACAAGTACCATTATTATCACATGGGTTTGAGTCACATGGGTCGGTCGTAATCCTCAACTCACAATATATCCCAGTATAAAAATCTGTGCATGAACATGTGAAATTTCCTTCTCCAACCAAATTGCATGTGGCATTATTTCCACATGGACCAGACTGGCACGGGTTTAGCATGACTATGACATCACAAATTTCCCCAGTAAAACCACTCGGACAGTAGCAAGTGAAGTTTGCTTCCCCAACAGAACTACAGGTGGCATTGTTTCTACAAGGACTGGGATCACAGGGGTTTAGTTGGCTGAGGTCTACTTCGCAATTCTTGCCTGTGAAGCCACTGGGACAAATGCAGGTGTATTCTGATTCAGACGTTATGACGCATGTTCCGTTACTCTGACACGGTCCACTGTCGCACACTGTTATTCTCTCTGTACAGTTTCTGCCTGAGAAAGATATAATAAATAAATAAATAAATAAATAAATAAATAAATAATAGGCAGATAGGTTAATAAATAAATAAATAAATAAATAAATAAATAAGTAAAAGTTTTTATTTCAGTTGTGGCTATTACAAAACTATTTTTCTTGGTGCCTAACATCATTTTAAATACCACACAGGGATTAGGTACACATGAAGCCTTACCAGTAAACCCAAACACACAACTACAGTTATATTCTCCTGGTCCCTGTGGCGGGCTGATATCATTGCAGGTGGAGCCATTACCACAGGGGCTGTAGAGACACAGGTTGTCGATGTCGGTACAGATGTCCCCCGTCCACCCTGGTGGGCACTGACAGTTCACTAGACCCTCAGGAGTGACCACACAGTTGGCTGAACATAAAAGAAACTGATTTTATGGACTGACCCACTAGAAATCATCTGATCCATTAGTTATTATTATTATCATTATTATTATCATTATTATTACTATTATTTCGGAATTTATTATGTTAAAAAATTTTAACTTCAAAACTACAAAAAAAAAAAAAAATTCAACAGGTTTTCCAAACTATAACATTTTTTTTCAACAGACTTTGGTACTTTAAAGCTGATTATTTAAATAGGTTTTCGTAACTATCAGATAAGAACTAGGCTACACCTATAAAAAGTTGTCAAACACATTTATCTTAAAATAAATCACCTATTACCTCCATTTAAACATAAATCATCAGAGCAAGTGGTAATCACATTCTGGCACCTTGAACCCTCATACTGAAATGTGCAGTTACATGTGAAACCCAGCTCCGTGGAAGTGCATGCGCCGCCGTTCTCACATGGCTCGGACACACAGTAATCTATCGTCTCATTGCAAGTCTTTCCTGTACGTCCTTCTTGGCAAATGCAAGAAAAGTCGTTAATCCTGTCTTGGCATGTGGCTCCATCTACACATGGTTGTGATAAACACTCATTGATTTCGGTTTCACAGTCCACACCTAAAATTTGTCAAAATATGTCTGTAAAGGGCTGCTTATTGCATGTATAATTATCACATGATAAGTGATACAGTTGCCTTTATAAACTCCTTATTTGTACTTTCTACATAAGAAGATCTAGAAATCAATGAAAGTAAAATCTGCATAAGTGTCTTTTCAGGCAACTCCAGTACACAATAAAAGCAGACATTTTAACTAGTTTCATTATGAACACTCAAAATATCAATAATTTTTTTTTTTCAAAAGGTAGGCTTCATTCATCCCCACCCCCTTTTGCCTACAGGCCTGTATGTAACTTACATCACATAATACAACCACGACACATGACAGACACATGACAGACACATGACAGACACATGGTAAGATAGTCATACAATACTTCAAGTATATTCACATGGGTGAAAGTTGACATTTCTCAACACATTTAAACCATATAAAAAAAATGATCAAAGTGAGGACTTAAAAACCCTGAAATCAGACATAATCCTGAAAACTTTCATCCATGTATTCATCAATGGTACAATCAAATTACATTCATTGTGGTAAGTTTAAATGGAAGTAAGTGTTAAGGGCATTATTTTCATACACAAATTTCTATTGAAATTGGTGAAAAGGATTGCTCTATGTTAATTAGTGATTATGGCACTAAGCAATGCGTCAGGATGTGAGTGGAGAAAATAAAACCAGATAAAAGGGAGAAGATATATTTGTACATACTGCAGAATTGCAGAGAAGAGAAATGGTTGCAAATGTTAATTAATGAAGGATTGAAAAAAAAAGTGACGAGCGAAAGCATGCATTTGAAACATTATACAAATAAATAAAAGAAAAATCCCAATGGAGTACAGAAACAAAACTTAGCTAAAACAAGTGTGGATTTGTGGTAATGACAAAGTTTTAGAGCAAAACTCAGACTAATGAACAACTAAGGGTGCGTTCACCAACCCTGCAAGTATTTTCCTTGAATGCAATAAAATTAACAAATTACTAGTAACACGCCTCCACTTGGTATTGAGTAGAATACAGAAAAGCTGGTGATTATATGCCATCGAGTACTTTGGAAACAAGAGGAGGCGTGTCCTTGTGATCGCACCCTCAGACAATACAACATAAAGACAGCATGAAGACACCTGTAAATCCCGGAACACAGGAGCAGGAATAGCCGAGGAAAAAATCATGACACGTTGCGCCATGCTGGCATGGAGCGCTGCTGCAATTGCTGTGCAGAGAGTCACAATTGGAGCCTGTAGGTAACGTAAATAAATAAATAAAGATAAATAAAAGAATGAGAAGATGTCTACAAGGTTATATGATATCATAAAAAAAATTTCAAAAATGAATAATGAAAATGAATCAGATTATATAATACAATAAAAGAATAACAAGCTGTCTATTAAATCACATGATAGCATAAATAACTTATAATTTTATAGAGATAAATGAATATAAGAAATCTACCTACCTATATCATATCATAACATTTAGAAAGAAATAAAATTAATAGAGAGATATATCAGATTATTTCAACCATTAGCTCTGTATTATGTGTGATAGATTCAGTAAGGTAATAATTAACTGTCTTCTTTCATAGTGAAATGAAACATATAATAGCAATTTTTTATTGCTTTAAATTAAGTACCAGTACTCGATTTTGACTGGGGTTTTCAAGATTATGGCAGACTAAGATGGTATTATCAACTTAAAAGCCATTTTGTGTTTTATAAATTCATTAATTACCAATCAAGGTGTCTAAGGAGCCAGTTCTTACCTGTATATCCAGGATGACACTGACAGCGATAGACACCTGGTGACACGGTGACACATGTGCCATTGTTACATATACCTGAGGTACATGCCCCTAGCACGTTTTCACACATGGACCCTGGGGGAATAATAATAATAATAATAATAATAATAATAATAATAATAATTATAATAATAAAGAAAGAAAGAAAGAAAGTTCTTTGAAACCACGCTCCACAATCATCTCAGCACAGTGACAGTGTGTGCAATACAAAGATTAAAGTTTAACATTTGAAAATCATCTTCTAAAATAAACAACTGCACATTCTAAAATTTTTAGACTAGCAAAACATACTAGTTCCATTTCATGATTTGACATTGCAATAATCTTAAAGATAGCATTTATCTCAGCGTGTGCCCCTGTGTATAAGCCTTGTTTACTCAAAAGATGTAACCCCCCTCTAGCATGTACAGATAACATTATCAAATATAGAATGCAAAAGAGATAAATTCTTTGTAGAACATGAATTAAAAGCTGGATTAGCTTGTTGGCACAGTGATAACATTATATATTTACCCAAAGCATTATGTATCCAACTAGAAAATTAAGGTAGATCAATCCTCACTATTATGAATTATTTTAAATTTTTCAATTTGAGTTGGCTGTCAACTAAAAAACCAGCATGGGCAAACACATTGCATCCTTGGTGGAGGTGAATTTTTTTTTTTTCAATAATAAAATTTAAAAAATATTGCCCAATTGGTGGGAAGAAAAAGAAAAAAGGGATAATTTAATTTTGCCAAAATGAGAATTGAAAACAAATAAATTTATAAACAGATAATGCACACATCAATGAATCTTTATAAATAAATAAATAAATAGCAAATGTCAATATTTTCCAATAAAGAAATATTACCTGTATACTGTGGTAGACACTGGCAGACAAAGTCACTCCCCTCTAAACCTTGCCCTACATCAATACATGTGCCACCTCTAGAGCACGGCGCACTCGCGCATGCATTATACTCATCACAGTGCTGCCCTCTATATTCAGTCTCACAAAGACATGTGTAGTCTTGTTCGAGCCTGCGAGTCACACAACGTCCATTACCAGTGCAAGTTTGACCCGATGGTGAAACACAAACGTTACTTTTAACGGTCACATTGACTCGTAGTCCGAACACACAGCCATAGAATGCTATAAACCCATTGGGCACCTGCGCAAATAAATTAATACCAGGTGAGAGAAATCTCTGTGGTATTTTAGTCACCTCTCTAGTGGCTGTTGCCGTGACCATTCTCTCCAAGGGGTGCCCCCCAGATGGACAATTAATAAACTCGCTCTCCGTCACTTGACCGATCTTCATCTGGAATATCGGGGAGGGGTCTGGGAGGAGGAATACCGAGTCCCCTTCCTGTATTTCTAATGGACATAACTGTGTGAGGTACCCTTCCTCTCCTGGGAGACCATAGCATGCCATCAGAGTCTGGCAAACATCCGTAACAGCCCATACCACACTGAAATTCTTTGGCGAATCCCTCCACTCCGTCAATCCACTCCCCAATGGATTACTCACGCAGCTAACTTGAGTATATGTACATGGTATGACAAAATTTGTCAGGATGTATAATATAAAAAGAAGTTTTGTAAAAATAGTTTTGTGGTTTCTGCAAGTTAGTGAATTGGTCCCGAAACCTGGTATTACGAGTTTGTGTGAGATCAATGACATTGTGATTATGTTCATATTAATATAATGCTAATTATATAAATAAAACTTTGTTTAAAAAATCCTTTCTTTTCTAAAAATATATCAGCTCCTTATCCATCAAATAATATTTGATGTAAACAAAATGTGCATACTGGTCAGATCTTTTGTTCAATGGAATGTGAATAGAAACAAATGTTAGTCAATCGCTGTTATCCTCCTCCTTATGGAACTTCTGCGTCATACTTCTCATTCTGATAACAAAGGCTGATCCTGAAATAATCAAAATATTTAAAAAAGGAAAATATATTTTTGTTGGCTGACTAATCATTTGTACTGATCAATGAGTAGTAAAAAAATGTAAACATTGTATGATGAGAGCTATTCAGTTGCTACAGACGATATAAATAGCTCTAACGTTATAAATAGCGTTATTAATGATAAAAGTTTAACGAACTTTCATAACTTCAGAAAAGATAAAACTGATATTAAAATTTGTTCAACTTCTTTCTTTTTGCTTTTTGAAGAGTTTTGCCAAACAGTGTACAGTACTGCACTGCTCGACTCACCATTTGACAAAGAAGCTGCCATAATAATAATCACATCGTCTACTTACCCTTTATTTCGACCACATATGGACGAGCATTCATAGTTATTGCTTTTCTCTTCTGAAATGAATATATTGTCATGGTTTCCACAGTTGAGATATTTTTTCCTGTCAATGAAAACTTTCATTGAGGTTTAAAAGAGAAGCTGCGCATATGGTCGTTGCTTTTGGAGGGCAATGCGCACAGCTATTACGACAATTGATCGGTACTAAAAATGAACGATGACTGAAGGAAAATGGTAGCATTAGACATTCACACGAAAATGAATTCAATAAAAGACTACTTACAAATCATTTTATACTTAACACAATTAAAAATATAAACTCGGGAGATTATGACATAAAGGGTGTGTTCTTGTTCAGATTACGACATTAAATGTACCCATCGACAACCCGAATCTACTTCCGCCTAAACAACGTGAGGAGAGAAATGTAAACATTGATCAATATTTATCCTGTTGGTCTCTGAAAATGTGAATTAATTCCAAAGTTTATAGCGACCTGTATCATTTCATGTTAGAGGCTGCGCAACACCGGTCGCGGAATGGAAGAAGACCACCCAATATTTTGTTTCCAGCACTGTAGCAGAGACGAGAATATTTTGTGTCTGTCGCTCCCCAATCACTGCCCGCTGTGCAGTAGGGACTTGCAGACAACTCAGATGCTCATCCCTCCGTTTCGACTGACGTACCCGTTTCAGTGTGCAATAAAATCACCTTGCAGCGTTGTCATTAGGCCTACACATGGTTCGTTTCTCAGGTAAGCGGTTTATACTATGGTATACATGTACTACATTGTATAGCTACTAGTCTCGTACAGGTCAGGGCCCAGGGGTACGTACTGTCATGCACATACAGTACCTAAAATTTTGGAAGTGGTGATGCCCCTCTCACTGGGTGTCCCTAAATTTCCAGTGTATTGTGGTGTATTGCTCAATTTAGGGCCACCTCTCATATCACGTGAACTTTTCAAAAAGTTTTCTTATTAAGGTAAAGATTCATTAATCTAAATATAATTATTTTTCAGTTTCACAATGATTAATAAGCTTTAGAATATGTAAAAATGAAATTTCATTACCATAGTGTAAAAATTGAGTGTCAATGTAAATGTATTTGTCTGTGTTATTGTTTACTAGTACTACATGTTTATATATTGAAATTTTGTAAAATTGTTGTAAGTTCTGTATGCCGATCAAATGTTAAACCACCTTGGTTGCTTGCATATTTGTTTACATATAACCAGAGCAAAAAAGTCCGAGCACACACAAATTACCACAAAGTTCCATGCCTTATGTACTAAAAGATTGGTGTGGTGATGATATTGATTTAAATTATTGCTGATTTCAGGGACTACACCAACTCCTCTAACCTGCATGTAGGCATTACAAATACAAAAGGTAAAATACAAATGACTATTGTCTTGTTTTTTGAAATGTTCTTGTTTTTAACATTAAAATGTAAAGTGGAATCTGACTGGAGATACTGACACCATCTAAAGCGATGTATTTTTTAGAAGCTGAAACAAAATATATTAACATTTTTCCTGGATCTTTTACAAGTAAAAGTGTTTTTTTGTTTTTTTTCCAAGTTTAATTATATTGCCTTGGGTGAAAGTTTTTAGGATAATGCCAGATTTCAGTCTTCATTTTGATAGTTTTTTGATGTGGTCTAATTGTGATGAGAAATTGCTAGCTATGTTTAGGGATTTTCACTTTTTACAACTTTCACCCATGTATTACAAAATGAAATAACTTTTGATTAATTCATCCAATGATGCAGGTTTCTCAACCTGTGAGAAATTCTGCTTTACCAACGTTTTTATAATTTTCTCATATCCAGGTTCAGTGTATGACTATGATGAGGGGGGACTTCATGTCCACTCTCCCACCTGGACATCCACAGAGACACTGACCATACCGGTCATCCAGACCAATGACACTATGTGGAGTCACACATGGAATATCAGACTGGAACAGTGGGCCATGCAGCAACAGTGGACAGCAGACAGGTACTTGTGAGAGAGAGAGAGAGAGGGGGGAGAGAGAGGGAGAGAGGGCAGGGAGAAGGAGAGACAGAGAGAGAGAGAGAGAGTAAAATAAAGGAAGAGGAGGGGAGGAAAAAAGAGATACAGTGAGGAGGGAGCGAAAGAGAGGGAGTCACAATTATCTTTCTTGTGAAATTATAATAATTGTTATTACTTTTAATGTTGATGCCTGTATAGGAATGCATATTTCTGAACAAATCACTCATTCCAGTCTTTTTAATTCTTCAATAGATTGGATCAAGTTTCATGTAGCATCTGAAAGTCAGAGTGTTTTCATATGTTTCAGGTATAACGACACCCATCACAACTGCTATGACTTTGTTCTTGGCTTTCTGCAGTACATGGGACTGGACAAATGTCTCCCCTGTGCCAGCAACAGGACGGAATTCTGTGCTAAGATGATTGTACCTAAGACAACTGCTGCAGCCAAATATATATCACTGTATAGAAAACTTTATAAAGACAAGGTAGTCATACAGACTGCTGCACCTTGACTTCAAGGCCACTGACAACAACTTCACTTCACACAGCATTCCCTTTGTCAACTATAGTTTCAAGGTGCTAACAACTAGCTCCCTGTAGCCAGCATATAATCTTAGTTGCCCTGAGTTTCATAGTTCTGGCAGTGAATGAGCATTACCCTAAATCAGCATTCCCCAGGACACTAGTAATGGCTTGCCTTTATTTTAACCCCAAAAGCAATGATACTGATAAAGATGCAAGTGCCCAGTAGCCGCAGAAACTCAGCGTAAAGGTTCTGTAAACCCAGGACAAAAATGGCATCGAGTGGAACAGTTTTCTGTATCTTACCATTTTGAGAAATTGGCAACTTATTAACATGACTATTACATGAAAGAGTCTTCAAAACAGGGCCCTGTGCTCTGCATGACCAATTACCAAATTAATTTTGATTGGTACAAACATTTGGAAGTAAACTTGTGAAACAGAAGAAAACCCTGTTGCATAATTTTATGTTCAGGTCAGTGAAAATGATGTGAAACAGAGAAGTGTTGTGATAAAGGTCAAAGCCAAGTACCACATAAATCCTCACAAAGCTTTGGAGTTATTTACTAATGAAAGGTGGAAAATATGTTGTATTTTTATATCATAATTAATTGTTTTATTGTTCTCGTAATATTAATTTCTACAAGGGCACTTTTTATTTGACTTTGAAAGTAATTTTAGTTACTAAGATTAGCCACATGACTGAAAAAAATGCTCCACATGACATTAAATACTATACCATCATACAGACTACTTAACAGTTATCATAATGAGTGATTTCAAGATAATTTGGAGAATTTCCAGACTGTGGGGAATTTTAGATGCAGTAACTCTTTATGCCTCAATACATAGCTGTGAGGCGAAAGAATGGTTTCATAAATTGTGTTGTAAAATATGTTTGTGCAATAAAAGCATCAGATAAAATGCAGCCAAGGGTGTCCGATAAAAGAATATATTATTTTATTTTATATTTTCTACCATGAAAATTTCCCATAGCCCTTCCTATTGGACTCTCTGGGGCTCTGTAGGAATCCTGCAGGACTCTAAAAAAGTCACAGGTACCATCCAGAATAGATGATCTGAGTACTAACTGATCCACTTCAAAAGCAATGCTGCTGATTCCCGATGATCCCCCCCCCCCACACGCACCATTAAATCTTGGCTCCGAGGTTTAATTGCTAGGCCCCTGCAGCAATGGTGCAAGTGGAACTGGGGAGACCATCATTAAGTGGTTTAAAAGTTTTGTAATGTCCATTTTTTTAATCATGTAATTTGAGCATTTAAAATGTCTTAACGAGAAAGAATATATCTAACACCCTGCTACATAAAATCAATCTTCACATTTTTTTTTTTTTTTTTTTTTGAAAATTAATTGACTTGTTCTGTAGAAATTCTTTTATTCCCTTAAAACAAATAAATTTGTCCAGGCATCTGTCAAAGTAATCCATCATTACGATTTTTGAAAGCATGCCTTTTCACCAAACAAAGCCACCCATTTGTTAGCTGAAAAACCAAGTACAGCTTGACAAATAAAGGTCACCTGTAGCACACACACACACAAATATAATTATGGTAAATTTAAGTGCCCGAATATAGAAACTCAATGAGCATTATACTTATGTACTAAGTCAATAAAGTAACCCCCCCAGTGTCAATTTTCCTTCTAAAAATCACGATCAGAGAAAACTCAAAGAAAACTAGTTCAGAGCGGAGATTTTTATTCAACAAGAGCAATTAGTTTTTTCCTTCCAACCAAAACAAGAGTAACAGGCTGCAATCAACAAGAACACAAATCAGGAAATTGAAAACTCAACTTTATATACAGAGCAATACTTGTACCCAAAGTCTCACAGGTGTCAGAAAAACCCCTCACCTGCCATCAATATACCTCTGCCTTCTTTTAGTAACACAAGCAAGGTGAAAGGAGGAAATTGGGTTTCCACGAACCTGTGAAACTTGGGGTAAACATGTCCAAAACCTTCAATACAACGTGCATTATATACATGAGTTGTAGAAAATGCATATTGAAACATTTGCAATCCAAATAAAGTTGTATACTTTTCTTTTCTCATATTTTTCAAAAGTTAAGATTGAGCTCAATTTGAGTAAGTCTACCAAGGGCAAGTCTGCCTCCAATAAAAAAAAGAAATTTGCCCTGAATCTTAACACTTCCACCATATTTTGTTATTTTTCTGCAATTTTTATTTTTTATTGTTATTGTAGTCTTTTCTTTTCTATTCTGTAAGACCAACACGTGACAGTAGTTGAGGTTATATAACTTAATGGTCACTACTGTTAAACTTTAAATGATACAAGAAAAACTGATTTTTTCTTTTTTGATATTTTTGCTATTTTTTTGTTTATTTTTCAATATTTGTAGCTGCTTCTTGACATTTTTTCTTTTAAGTTTCCTATTCTACTATGACAGTAATAGTTTTACTGTTTTTATTGTAGTTTTTGGTATCATGTGTTCTTCTGTTGTTCTTTTCATGACGTCTCAGCTTGTTGTACTTAAAAAGGAAAAGTTGCAAAAAAAATAATAAATATAATTATGAATTCATAATAATAATTAACATTAAGTTTCAAAAGTTTTTATAATACAGTAGTTCTCAGTTTTTCTGATTTTTATGTCATTTTTTCGGATATTTTTTCATCCCAGATGGATTGTGCCCACTCCCAGTGCTCTCCACAGGTCTTCACAAGCCAACAGCATACAGTGCCTTCACACTATCTGGATTCTGATCTGCTCATCTTGCTTGGGGAGGAGCGAGTGGTGCCATCTTTTGGGGAGTTTTAGCATTACATTTTGGGTAACTGTCCAGCTGGGGCTCCAGCTGCTTCTTTGGCTTGGTGAGCCTGCAACACAGCAACGGCTTCCTCGACCTGAAGAACAACGACATTTTCTTTGTAAACAAAAGAGTGATACACGAAGCTTTTTCAATGTCGGCTTTGCTCAAGTTTTGGGCCAGTTTAAACAATTCATTTCTTCAAGCTACCCTTAGATTTCAGCTGGGCAGTGTTAGTTTCAGCAAACACAAAAAGAAAATTGCCTTATATCAGACTTCTTGGTGATGGATGATAATTCCAGTTATAAGGTGACAAATTATGGCAAAACCTCCTATACTTGTGAAGTGTACTCACCCCACCCCCTCCCCTGAACTTAAAACTTACTCTGAACCCTTCTTAAAACTTTTACAAGTTCCATTTTCAAGATGTATGAATGCAGAACTGAATTATTACCATCTATGCCTACTACCATCCATGAGACGGGGGGGAGGGGGGGGGGGGGGGAAATGCAATTATTCAGCATACCCCCACCCAATCTTTCTCTCCACTCACCTTGGCCTTGAGGGACTCTCTGGACTCCAACATGTGGAGAAGCTCAGAGTTGTCGATCTCCAGCAACATTCCAGTGATTTTACCCGCCAAGTCTGGGTACATGTTCTGGATCAGAGGGAAGAGGCGCTCGCCCAGCATCTGTTTCTGTTCCTGGGGTGCAGCGGCGGCCAACATGGCAGTGGTGAGAGCTTCCTGTCCGGGAACATGCACGGCCTGTTGGGGCATCTGTGACATAGAAAACATTGGGATAAATTGACTTAATTATAACAAACCTTCCATTTCATATAAATCTGGAATGAAAACAAAGAATGGAGAACAATTTTTTGTTTTGTTTTTTTGTTTTTTTTTTTTTTTGCAAACATGCCAGCAAGTGTCAGCTGGATGTAGTGAAACTCCGTTTGCATGCAAATTTAGCAGTGAGGTCATTTTTTAATATCCCGTGAAAGTCAAGGGAACCTGTTACACTGTCATGAAAGTTGAGGAGACCTGTTATACTGCCATGTGAAAGTTGAGGGTACTTAAATTTTAACCCCCCAATCCCCTCTAAAATTGTACCCACAAAGCTGGTATAAGAACAGTGTTTTACCTGTTGTGCTGGCTGTGACTGCTGCATCTGACCCTGCACTGGAGGATTGCGCATGGTGGTAGTGTACTTGAAGCTGGGCCGAGGCTGGGTGGCCATGGCGGGGCGCGGGGGCTGGGCAGCCTGGACTCCTGTGATGGGACGTGCATTGACCGCAGCACGCACTTGCTGCTGGGCGGGTCCGCGTGGAGGAGCTGTGGAGCGCACCTGTGTGCCAGCTGGCATTGCCTGGAAACCTAGAGGAGACCAACAATATCACTATAATAAGAGAGAATTTAGAGTTAAAACAATCTTTTTTTAGCAGAGATGTTTCATGCAATTCACTTCATTACAGGGTAATCCTCTTAAAATCATTGATTTAACTTTTAAAATCAATGCTGTAAATTTGCTCCTTAGTCCAGATTTGGCAGGCCAGTCAAAATTAAAACCCTTCGTTAAAACAGACCACAAATCAATTGTATGACTCCCTCCCCAGTTCTGTCTCTTACACACACACACGTACACATACCTTGAGGCTGTGCAGTCCTGATCTGTTGCTGTGCTGGCCAGCGTGGGTTGGCCCTCATCTGGCCCATTTGAGGCCCAGGGTAGGCGAACCTCTGCTGGGGCATTGTGGGGACAAAGTAGCTGGCACCACCTGGTTGGAACATTTGTCCCATCTGCTGCATTCGCAGACCAGCAATGCGTTGCATGTACTGGGATGCCAAGTGAGCCTTGCGGTCTTCCTTCCTCTGTGCCAATGCGACGTAGAGGGGCTTCGTTCCGACAATACGCCCATTCATCTCAGTGACAGCCCTGGTGGCTTCCTCTGGGGAGCTGAAACAGACGAAGCCAAAGCCACGGGTACGACCACCCTCAGTCATGACACGAGCACTGGTGATGGTGCCGAACTGGGAAAACTCCTTCCTAAGCTTCTCATCGTCAATGCCATCATCCAGGTTCTTGACGTACAGGTTGACCCCCTGGTAACGACTGATCCTCTCCTGTTTCAGCTTCTCAAACCTGTCCTTCAGTTCAGAGATGCGCTCTACTTTTTTCTGGGCGCGCCCTGCATACATGGGTCTTCCACTGAACTCCTTGCCATTCAGTTCTTCCACAGCTTTACCCGCGGCTTCAGGGTCCTCAAAGCTGACAAAGCCAAAGCCACGAGACTTGCCATTGGAATCGTCCACCATCACCTGAAACCACAACCTTGTTGTTAATTCATGTGCTGATATAAGTTATAACTCCAAATCATCTCACCTTTTAGTTCTTTTTATGGGGTTCAAACAAAACAATCACAACAAAAACAATTCTTTAGTAAATTTGCCTCTCCTGCTTGTTAAGTTATCATGTGTCACCCCCGTGTTTTTAAACCCGAGCAAGCAATAACGTAACTTACATTTTTCCTGCATAATAACTGACTTAATCAATGACATACCAGCTCTCTAATTTCACCCATGTACTCATAGTAACAACAAGTTGGAAAGGGGTATCCAATATTTTATCCAGTGCATCCCAAGCTTCCCAAAATATCTACAAATGACCTACCTTTGCACTGATGACTTTGCCGTAGTTTTCAAACATCTCCTGCAGCTTGGTATCATCCATGTCCTCGCCAAAGTTCTTGACGTAGACATTGGTGAATTTCTTCACTCTGTCTCCGAGGGCCTCAATCCTTTCCTTGCGGGAGATGAAACGGCCGACAAATCTGTGGAATGATAAAAGAAGGCAACTATTTGGAGGAAAAAAATTTGGCCCGATTCTTCATTTTAGCCCTGTTACTCCATCAAGTTATACACATTAACCCCCCCCCCCAAAAAAAAAGTTTGTAACTTCTTTTTTGTTGCAGTCAAGTAAATCTATGAAACACGCAAGAATGGCATATTCTGAACTAATTCTTTTAAAAACATCTAAAATTAGTACTTATTTAATACCTTTCAATAACAAATCTGTGGGCGTTAAGAAAAAAACAATTCTTGAGAGAACTACTTACACTTTCTTTCCATTCAACAACATCCCATTGACCTTCTCAATGGCACTGGAGGCGGCTTCCTCAGTCTCAAAGTGGACAAAACCATAGCCCTTGGAGCCATTTTCATCAGAGACAATCTAAAACAAAATGGGCATTTCTTTAACCAGGTATAGTCACTTGAGTCATACTTATCAGATCAAGAGGCACAAAGTGGCACAGAGAGAGATGATAAATTCATGACGCCACTTTATCAAGCATACTTAGCACCCTAGAGAAGAAGCAATGAAACACGCGTGACAACTCTTGAAACTAATCCACTGGTAGATCATTTTTCATTAATGAGGAGGTACCAAGAGACCAGCCAAGATAGGGATCTCTCGGTCTATCTCAAATCAGTTTTACACATAGTGAAGTAGGTATTGGTGTAAGCAACTTATTTTTTTATTTATCTGTTTTTAAAATATCTAACTATTGTTCAAGACAAAATTCCTCAGGAAGAAGCAACTGATTAGCTTGGACTCAGAAACTTGGTCACTATCAGTAGTAGTTGGAAAGAATGGATGAACTTATAAAGTGGGTCTATATATTCTTGGACATTTTGGCAATTTCACTTATTCAGGCGTATCCTTTTCAAAACTTGATTAAATTACTCTTTATCAAGTTTCAGATATCTAATTTTTACAGTAATGAATGAAGTCCACCAATCTCTTCAATGAGAGTGACTCAAAACCTTGAAACTTAGGACTAAAAACATGATTTTAAATTTCTATTCTGTGAACACTTTAAGGATATCATATACCTTGTTAAATTAGGAAAATGTTCAGTTTGTACTAGGTAAATGTGCAACTCTCAGTGTGTGCTAGTACTGATCCCTGTTGTACAACTATGGACACTCATCTCACCTTGCAAGACAAAATGTTTCCAAAAGCAGAGAAAGTATCATACAAGGCCTTGTTGTCGATGCTCTTATCCAGGTTCTTGATGAACACATTTCCAACACCAGAACGACGTAGCGATGGATCACGTTGGGACCACATAATACGAATAGGACGTCCCTTGATGGTGTCAAAGTTCATAGTATCCAAGGCTCTTTCAGCTAAAAAGAGAAAACTTTGAGCATAAAAACGAAGTATTGACTAGATACATTACAAAAGAACAATCCACTTAAAACTCCTTATCAGCCGAGTTATTTAAGCCCCCGCCTTTAAAAAGCCTTAAACCAACATTATCAACCCTATATTAATGTTTTAACATGAATTTCAAAGTTAACTCCCACTACCCCCTAGAAAAAAAAATTCAGTAGAATTTAAATAGCAAATCCTCAATTCTAAGATGCTAAATGGGTATTTGCGAGCTTCACAGCTGTTCAATTATAAATATCAGTGCTCCATATGAGGTTTATGAACAGAAACAAACTTTCTTACAAGATGGGTAGGTTTTCCCCTTACTAATATGCAGATTTAGGGAATTGTAAGATGTTTCTTGAAAAATGGCCTAAAAAAATCTTTACAGCCCACCCATTCACCCCATTTCAAAATCTGAAGGATACTAGCGGTCCTATTAAACATAGAAATGGATAGAAATGGAGCGAAATGGACCGAAATGGACCAATATAGATCTCCTGTTAAGCATAGTAAACCTCCTTGAGATCGTATTTGGGTTCTAGATCATAAAAATAATCTTACATTTGCACCAGAAAGGTGATATGCTGAACTTTAATGAGATACATCGTCGGAGTCTGTAATTAGGTCAAGGTTCGCAGTGAAAGTATATGGAGCAGCCTCCCAACACCAGCCTCGTTTTGAAATCCACCCCGAAAATGGCGACTTTGACCTCATTACAGCCTCCGACGATGTATCTCTAGAAAGTTCAGCATATCACCTTTCTGGTGCAAATGCAAGATTATTTTTATGATCTAGAACCCAAATACGATCTCAAGGAGGTTTACTTTGCTTAACAGGAGATGAATATTGGTCCATTTCGGTCCATTTCGGTCCATTTCTATCCATTTCTACATTTTAAAGGACCCGGATACTAGTACTTGAATTTAACAAGGCAAGGCTTTTCCCAGTAAACCGTCCAGCTGCCTTTTAAAACAACCCCCCCCCCCCTTGAAATTTATTTTATGTAATTTTTTTTTTAATTTTATATTATTATTTTTCATCAACCCTCTGGTCACAGCACTTGGAAATGTTGGACTCCGTATTTTTGTTGGAAATTACAGATGGGAATTTTGGACGGCTTGTACCCCCAATCCTGGGAAAGGCCCTGACCGTAAGGCATAGAAAACCACCTTTAAATTGAGCAAGAATTCATGTATTCGTGGTTTATTCTAGAAATCAAATCAGTTAAAAGGGTGTTTAACACTCAATCAATTAAACTGAGCCACAAATTGTGCAATACGTAATAAACGCTACCCAGTCTGCCATATTGGAAAATTTCGACCGTCTTACTCACCGTCAGCAGGCTGTTGAAAGTTGACGTAGGCATAGCCAAGGGATCGCCTGGTGATCATATCACGGCACACACGGATCGACAGCACTGGTCCGGCGGTAGAAAACTTCTCAAACAACATGGCCTCTGTGACATCTGGGTGGAGATCTCCCACATACAGAGAGGCCATAGGATAACTCTGAGCAGCTGGATTCATTTTGATCTTCTAAGTTTACTCCTTGCGTCGTCGAATAAAACTCCGTTTCTCTGCTTTTCTCCTTTTTCTAAAGTTTTTTTAGATTTTGTAATTTTTTTGTGTATTTTTTAAAGTTTTTAGTAAATAATAACAATATTTTTGTGTGTTTGTGTGAAAGAACTTATCACACAACACACCTATTTCAATGAAATATGAAATGTGAGGGGAGAACGGAAGTAGTGCTTGAATTTTATATTGAAACGTCAGCAGATTCATGCGCCTGACCAACGGCCAAATAGTGCCGTAAAAACAATGTGTTGTAGATTCTTCAATTTGACATTGTTTGGAAAACAGTAAGTATCTTCGTTTAAATACAACTGTAGAAGTTTGAAAAATTTTAACAAAAATAATAACTGCATACTGTTCAAATTTTCTTGGGCGATTTACTCGCGGAATCATATTTGTACACTACCATCAATTGTTCGGGGAAACACCGACGGTTTCCACGGAGTTCAAGAGAATATCCGGTGTACCGTTCTCAGATTGTTATCGGACACAGGCCATTATAATTGTTGTTTTAATCTTCCCTGGTTTCTAAAAATGTAATAAACTTGTATTCAAATTACAATAAAGGAAAATATGGTAATAAATATCAATTCATAAACAATTAGTAGTAACAAGGTAGAATCCCGGGCCGTATAAACGAAGACTTTTTCACCAAGGCATTTCCTTCATGATGGAGGCGCTGCTGGCGTCGTTCTTCTTTAAACAATGAACATTTTGCCCAAGCTTATATTTTTATAACGTGTAAAGCAAAAAAAACAAATATTGTTTACGTTCAAAGAACTGGAATTATTGATCACTTGGCGAACAGGCTCGATCAGTAGGCCTATATTTACGACGGTCTTATTACCAAATATTTCAGCCACGTCACATCTGGCTGTCTGGATTGCTTGGTTGAGCTACTAAGGGAGAAGTTTGCCCAACTGTCGCAATACAAGACCAGTGCAACTATCGCACGCTTAGACATGGAAGCACTAAAACTACGACAAAAAGCAGGGCCTGTAGAACGATACAGCACCAACACAGGGCCTATTTCTAATAGTGGTCGGGACATTAGGGTCTACTGGGTGTTTCTGCTACAAGTTTACTCAAGTAGTGGTCTGTTTTTATCCTTTGCATAAGTCTACAAACAGTAGACATTTCCAGACTCTCTCCCTTCAAAGAATACGAGGTAAAAATCGTCAAAATAGCTTAAATTGAGCTGTTTTGACCGTAAATTGACTCATCACATTTATTATATTTCAAAAGCGTACAAAGGGTGCGGTTTGTAGACTTGTAAAAATGATGCTAAAAATGAATGACCTCCCCCCCCCCCCCCCCCCCCAAGTGAGGCCTGTGTGGCGGGTTGACTCAATGCGGGAACGGAGTATTTTTTTTTCCTTCATACATTTTTTTAATTCTCTTGGAAGAAATTATTTTTCAAGTTTCTCATCACCCTCTTCAGAGTTAAACCTTTGACAATATTTGATAGAAAACTTGGACTTTCAATATTAGCAGCCGTTTATGGTGTTTTTCTGAGACCTATAGGGCCTACATATTTGTGAGAGTGGACAGTATGCCCGATGTAGGCTAACTGTGGCTTAATTAAGTAAGCCTTAAGTAAAGAACAATATACAGAAAATGATAACGTGTTATATCATACAAATTAAGCTCACGAAAGTGCATAGTCTTAATTACAGAGCAAGCGCAGGCCTTAAGCTAAATAGATAAGATAATTAAAGGCTGAAGAGGAAACAGTGTTGAATTTAATATAATTTGGGTACGGCAGGTGAGCAGACATCACCATAGTCATTGTCATCGCCTCCTTCATCATCATCATTATATTATTATGATCATCATGAGGTCGACGCCAGTGCAGGATGTGGACGGCGGGATTTAACTTGATGAAAGCCACCAAAAATTTTCGCTGTGCAGTTCAGTAAAGAATATCTGGAGAAAATCCATTTGTGTCTCTTGTAGAGAGTATAATTTATGTAAAGCCAACAACATGCTCTGCAGAAATAATGTTAATACCATATTTTATTAGCACAGACAATATCCCTACTTATAAAATACGTCGCAAAAGATACAGGCCGGGCATGAAAAGTCCAAAAAGTTAAATTTTTCCTGAAAGGTCTCTGTATATCTCATCTGAAGAATATAATTTTTTTCAAAACAGGTGGAATGATCTCAGAAATATAAATGAAATCTTGTTAAATACTCGTGAATGTAGCGGGTTCAGACAGTGAAAAAAAACTGACTTAGGCTTCGTTCACATGCAATGTCTATTTTCTAAAAATCTATTTTCTATTTGCGGTATCTTGTAATCACGGTCTGTGCCCTGAATACCCCGCGGCGTAATTACTGGCAGCGCCGAGAATTAATTACAGCTTTGGAAGTAACTGGCTCGCGCTGCCAGTAATTACGCCGCGGGATATTCAGGGCACAGACCGTGATCACAAGATATACCGCGAATAGAAAATAGATTTTTAGAAAATAGACATTGCATGTGAACGAAGCCTAAAGTCAATAACTTTTTGTATAAAAGTTTGAAATCCTGTTTTGCGTAAGTTTCTCACATATCATTTTTTACATATGTGAATGTTTTCTGTTTGCATTGAGTACATTACAATAAAGAGAAATAAAATCTATGACCAAATGATCTGCTTGCGCACCACTGATAAAAACATTCCCCTAAATAGGTCCACGTGGTCACTAGAGTTCCACGCTGCACGTTATAACGTTGTCACATGTTGCAAAGCCACGTGACAGCAACATGTCGTGTTTGGTGGGGCGTGTGTAAAGCCTTGGACCTAAATAGAGAAGGCCTTCTCTATTTAGGTCCAAGGTAAAGCAGACGATCACCTATTCTGTACGTATGTTCCACCAGAGGTCAGCTGCCTGATGACGTCAATTCTATACAAAAAAAATGCTTACATTTCAATATGATTACAGCTTTGTCTCTGGGAAGCTTACAGCTCATTGATACTCTGATCTCTCATAAATCCTTTAGATATGTGACCAATGAATTATATAAATTTACGTGTGCATGAATTGAGAGGAGTCTCTGAGGCTAGTTTGCTGTCAACTTTCGGTTTTATAACACAGCAGAATCATACACATGTAGGTAAATTGCATACTTTTATCATTTGCACTTTTATTATAACTCAAACTACGAATTTAACATACTGACAGTAAAATATATAAGAAAAAGAAGAAATTCACAGCACAGAAATGTGCATAGAAATGTGCATAGAAATGCCCAATTAAAGGGCCGCAACAAGCGCCCCTGACCTCAGTTTCATATCCCTTAGGTAACTGACCTCGACCGTCAACAGAATTGAGGTGTGCAACCGAGCCACCTGCGATTACCAAAGAAAAGTGAACAAAAGAACGACGCGGCAGTAACAATAATTCGTCTGGCAATGCAGGTAAAAAATGTGAAAAATGTTTTGCTTTGTAAAGAAAATGGTACACAAGCAGGTCCTGTGCATGTCCCAGGCACAGTCCTTATTGGGTGTGATTCATTGTTAAGGGCATTGTAACCCTTTATTATCATCCAGATACCGAATCTGAGTTTTTTCCTGCATCATCTCGTTAGTCGCGCAAGCTACTCTTGAATGAAGTGCAGAGGCCCGGATGTTACTATAGGCCTAAGCCCCAAAGTAGAGACGCGGGAGAAGTCTGGCGAGCGTGGTGATTAGAGAGGTAAAAAGAAAAACGATTACCATTCCGGTTTAATAATAATAATAATAATAATAATAATAATAATAATAATAACCGCGTGTATCTCTATAATATAATGTAATGTAATGTAATGTAATAATCCCGCCCCTCCCCCAAATAGTGGGAAAACAGTGGAACAGACGTCAAATGATTACAATTCCGGTTTAAAATAATAATAATAATAATAATAATAATAATAATAATAATTGGAGAGAGACCAACAAAAATATGCACTTATAAAGTCCGTTTGTCTATATAAGACAAATAGACCAAGATAAGCTCTATACAGACCCGGGACCGTTATTCTGAGATAATCCTACATGTACTTTTATTTTTTGGTAAAGGCATATATCACAAATAAATCATGTTGAGAGTTTTAAAAGCACATTTATTTAAGTCTTACTTGTTATCTTAATTCTGTCTCCGTGTTGGTTCTGGTGTACAATGTACATTGTATATCCTACTTCCGGGTGAGCAACGGAATGCGTGGAATGCGTGGAATGCGGAAGTACAGTATCATTCGTTTTCTCTTTTTTTTTACTAGGGTTATACCATTCGAAAGGCTGGCCTACCCGTACTATTTCCCGAGAAAAAAATGTGTTTTGTCTTGTGAAATGAAAAAAAGCCGCGTTTGGTTTGACAATTGTTACATGTCGAAAGAAATATATAACTACTAAGATAATATTCTACTCTAATGTAATGTATTCTTAAACCATGGCCACACCGTTAAAATGACTTCGTATCATTAAATTTTTATCTTTCTTTCACCAGTAGTATTATTGCGCCTATTTTGTAAAAAAAATAGTTATGTCTGGATCCAAAATATTTACTCTATTAAACCACCTTGATTTTTGCGGACTATTTCCTCAGGATAAATTCTTAGTTTTAGTCCTTTAATCTTTCACATTAAGCGGTATGATGGGTGTACTCGCTGTATATTATTTGCACCACAGTGGGGTTTTACCCCTTTCATTATCTCTCCATAAGTTCACTTCCTGCTGGTAATTGGTCGTGTCCAGCGCTGGATTTCCGGTTAGGTGACTCTCATTGCGTAATAAAAGAATATATATATATATATATATATATATATATATATATATATATATATATATATATATATGCTAAAAATACAAATTATATATCAGAAGTTTGTGGGCTATGGTCACCACGTTTATCTCCCTGGACAAATGTATCTCGGCTCCCATAGGATTAGTAGGGGTTAGGGGTTGTATATGGGGCAAATATCACCAGTATGCTGTACTGGAGACTCCATTTTGACCTTTATGTAATTAGAATAATGATTTGAAATGTATGTTTGAATACTGATGACTTTATCTGATCCTGATCTTTCACGTCGTCAAGCATCTACACATGTAGGCTGCCCATAGAAACGGCAAGATGGTTTCGAACTCCAATACATCTTTAAAAAATGTCACCTTTGTCAAAATTACATAGGTGACGAGTATAACTACATTC